TTAATATTTGGAACATGTGGTTTGAGGGGACTACAAATTACATGACTAAGGCATATTGAATATGGCTGCTTAATAATACCTGCTAGGTTGTTACTGGTTCTGTTTTAGACATATTCCACTTATAAGGGCTGAATCAAAAAAGAGTAGTGCTTTCATTTTTGTAAAATAAAAGCAAATAAACAGGAAGTTCATGCTCAATTTGTCCTCTTACCTGTATTACACTTAACACTCCTCTCTAGCCTAAATGTGTATTTTAAAGCCTACTGAGCATGCAGTCATTAATCTTAAGGATGACATAGAATGTAGCTTAATAACCTCAGTAGCAAAATCGTGTATAATGTTGGGACTGCCCATCTTGCCTGACCATGCTGTGATGTGAGTCACATGATTCAGCAGAGAGCAGCTGTGCATGTATCTACTGTTTTGCGATGGAGAAGGGAGGGACATAGCTGAGAAGCATGCAGGCCAATCAATATCCATTTTAAAAGTTATTATATATGTAGAACTTGCTTAGGTAACCTGGGTGAATGAGGTGGCACGTGCCTCTGTCTGGTTAATAAGGACCAGAGCTGCATTCTTGACTGCTCCAGCTCGATTTTACCCCTGTGAGAAGTAAGAATGGTAAGCAGTGAAGTTCATGATAGGATATTGCTAGATTTTCCTCTGGAAACTCTACTTCAAATATGATTTTAAAGAAAAGAAACATTTCACCTTTTTTATCCCCCATTTACAGTCAGGGCAGTAAATGAAACCAACAAATTTTAAAGACCTAATGAGAAAATTCGGATCGGAACTTTTATATTTAGATCAAAAAGTATAATTAGCAAAACTCCACATAATAACTTAGCCATAAAACTTATAATAGGCTAAATACAAAGAAGACTAAAAATCACACTTTTAAATTTAATTTTTGAGATCTCTTCCATTTCATTCTTAAAAAAATTTTGCTTATTCGTATACCAACCAATTTAATTAAGTTCAGAAAATTATAGCAAGTATTCATATTTTTCCTCTAAGGTTTCAGGACTCATCTTTGCCTAGCTGCACTATTAATTAGTTAAGTTTACTATTAATAATAATAATAAGTGAATGTTAAACTTTTCAAATGCCTTCTAAATTTGCCATTATTTTCTGCCTCATCCAAAGTGGAAATATGTTCCAAAGTTTTATTAGATGTGTCAGCATTGGTGTCTGAATTGTTTGCTTAACACACAAGCCAAAAAGAATGATTTACTTTCTAAATCAGATCCAAGCATTCTTTGACTGTCTCAAAATCTTTTTTAAAAAAGAATAGAATTTTTGTCCTTTACATACACATGATGGATATGAATAATAATAATAATAATAAAACAAGTAAGCATTTAAAGACCTGCCCCTTCTCTCTGAGTAGAATTGAATTCATAAACGAGTAATTTCTGAGTATTTCAGGTCAAATGTGCATTTCATAGGGAAATGCATAAATCTCAGCAATCTAAGAACATCATACTTTTTACTTTTGTGAATGCAGATATTGGCCTTACTTGAGCTTGTTATCCTGATCACAAAAAATAGCACCCTTTCCAAAATATGTTCTTTTTATCCATGACACTATCAATCTTTCAGTCTTCTAAGCTAGAAGTCTTGAAGTCATATTTGAATCTTTCTTCTCCTTAATTTCCTAGCTACCACCACATCTTGTCATTTCTTCTTTCAAGATGTTTTTCAGTTTTAAACCTTTCTTCTTAATTCCTTCTGATACTTGATAGATTAAGAATGCCAAGTACAAGAGCTTTTTTCCCCTTAATTTCATATGATCACCTACAGTAAATATCTGATTATTATTTCAGGGTATACTGAGGTTTAACACAAAATCATTTAAAAAGTTTTTAATTGTGTTACATCATTTTTTTTTCATTCAGTTCTCCACATACACTGATGATCAATTAAACTATATTCTGCGGGTTGACTGAACTTATTCAATGTCATCTTGAAAAAGTATAGAGTGGTATGAGATAAGAAAATCACCATGTATGACATTTTATAAATGAGAATGAAAAGTGGGCAAAATTTGATGACAAGAGAATTGTTGAATCCTACCATTCTACATAAATTATGGAAAGGTTCTCTCTGAAGTGGGGCAGAACCCTCTTGAGTAGACATATAAAAATAACTGTGTACTTTAAGCAGGCTTTCATATATTCTAAGACTACACACACTTTTTTTTTTGAAAACTATGAAGGTATATAACCCACTTCCAAGGCACTAATATAACAAAAGCTATGACTAAAGATGGTTGCTACGTATTTGGGTTTTTGTTTGTCTGTTTGTTTTTAAGGGTTCCTCTTTTGCCTTTTATTTCTAGATATGGATGTTCTCTAAGGCTCTGTCTTTAGTCCTCTTCACCAACTATAGTTATTCCTTTGGTGGGCTAATTATTCATACAATTCATAGTTTCCATTATCAACTTTATGTTGATGATTCATCAATATACATTGGCTGCCTTGATCTCTTATCCAAGTAATCCCACAATTCTATTTAACTGTGCCACAAATGTCACTTTAAACTCAACATATCTAAAATTGAAACTCATCTTTTACTCAAAATTTGGGTCCTTAGCTTAAAGACATAATTTCCAGTGGTATTACCAAACTTTAAGTCTCCCAGCTAGATATCTTGTAGTCATCTTTCTTTTGCTTCATCTCCTTTCTACTACAAAATCAAAGATGTCTATGAAATTTAACACTTCCTTTAAATTCCTATTGATACCACTCTAGCTCAGGCCTTCATCATGTCATTTGTTATTGGATTATTATAATAATTTCATAGCTGGTCTCTATGCCTCCAGTTTTTCTCTACTTTAACTTGACCTACATACTGCTGTCAAGGTAACTTCCTAGAGTACCATTTTCATAACATTCCTATGCTCAAGAACATACAAAGGTTCTTTGTTGTCTACAATATCAGGTTCAAAGCCTTTTGCCTGGATTTCAAGGCCATCCATGATCTGACTTCACCACTCTTTTATACTAAGCCTCTTCTATTTCAGCAAGGTCAGTCCCACCACTGTCCTCCATACATACTATAATTTCTTTTGTCTCTGTGTTTTTGCTTATGTTGCTCCTTCTTCTTGAAATGATTTCCTTTCCTCTCTCATATTATCTATATCTTACCCATCCTTCAAGTCCCATCTTGCCAATGAAGCATTTCCATACCAGTACAGTTTGCATTGAACTTTCCTTTCTTTGAATTTCTCTTGCCCTTGGAGTCATTTCACATTTTTCTCTGATCATTTCACATGCATGGGTTTTCTTTCCCTAGACAGTAAGTTTCTTGAGAGCAGGGGAAACATCATATTCCTCTGTATCAAGTAAGCCTAGGACTGTACTTGTCTATGCTAAATAAGTAATTTTGGATTGATGTTTCTTTTTCTTTTTTCAAGAAATCTAAGTTAAGGAGCAAATCAGTCTTCAAGTATGAGCAACTACACTTAATTTCATTAAGTAGACTCTTATGGAGTGGGTTCTGATAAGAAAGGATGGGAATAATCAAATACTTTTGTATAATGCCTTAAGATTTACAAAACACTTTCACATTAGCTATGATATGTTGGCAACTGTGAAATTTCTATAAAATGGCTAGGATAGTATGAGTTGTAACTTGGTTACTCACTATGGTAGGGATTCAGATGTTATGTAATTTGGGATAAAAATCCTATATTCCCACTAAAAAAAAGCCTGGTCCCCAAATAGAATTAGACAGCATCATGGATCTGATTACTATGCTGGCAATACTAAGCCTACATAGCCAATCTTCAAGTGTTATGGCATTTTCTATTGGCATGCTAGTGTATCTTGAAGAAGGATTTGAAGAATTTATAATAACCTGTAATCCTTGTCCACACAACAAACATTGAGGTGCAGCATTGTCAGAATTAATCGTATTATCAGTTGGTCCTACCAATGAAGATAGTGTGTATTCTGAATAAATAAAAAGTAAAAAGGCAGGTAAAAGGGGAAGAACATATATGTATGAAATAAAGAATTAAGATTGGTTTGAGTTGTCAGGTCTTAGACTAGTACTTTTTCAGAGTTCTGATTTCTTGTTCTAATTGGCAAAAAGACAAATAGCCATCACAATTTCTATTTTTTCTTAAAAATCAGAGCATTTCATATATATATATATATATATATATATATATATATATATATATATATACACATATATATATGTGTGTGTGTGTGTGTGTGTGTGTGTGTATCTATATCTATATAGATATAGATATACACATACACACACATATACACATGTCATATCTAAAGATAAACACCATGGTCCTACATATAAAACGCTGTGTCCCGTGAATACCTGAACAGTTTTTTTTTAGAACTGATAGTAAAAAGGCAAGAAGACAAATTCATTCCAATATGCTTTTCCACCGGATTTAAAATATCAGCTTATTTATCCCCTAAACATGCGACACAATGCAAGTAACTCATCCACTTTCCAAATATGTGCAGACAGTAAAATTTTAGCTAGTTATCTAGTTATCATTATGTTTATGGTTTATTTATGTAGGTTCAGATGTGTATCTAAAACAATATTAAAATAATCTTTACCACCAAATGCATTCCATGAATGATATACTGTATATCATTAAGTGCATACTTGGAGTAATTGAAATCGAATACATAGAATTTCCCAAGAAGATATGATTCAGTGCTGTGACCATATGGGGGACAACCGTTTTTGGAAAACCAAATGGAGTTTATTGGAAAGACCTTTTGTTTTTAACATAGAATTTAAAGAAAAAGTTTTTTTAAGAAAATCAATTTGTAGATCTTTCAGAGACATCACTTTACTGTGGAAAATTGTGTGGTTTTCTAAAATTGGGTTCAATGCTATATAGTTTATACACGTGTCAGAATTGTAACATCTAATACCCTATTGATATGTAATTAAGGATTAAATAAAGCATGTCTCTATCAGAAGTTTTACAAATTACAACTTTAAAAAAATCATACCTCTTTGCTTTCTTCCAGTTCTGACTCACTGCTGAAATCTTCAGTATTTAAGTTTTCAAAATCAGATTCACCAACTGCAATTGGTACTGTTACAGTAAGGCTGGGGTTGTTTATGAATGACATGTAATCATTTTCATCAATTATATATTTTTCCACGCTGCTTCCTGTACCTACACCACTGGTAGTTCCATTACCATCTTTCAGATAATTAAGGTCTTTGCTTATTTCAACTGGAGTATTATTGGAAATGCAGCTTTCTATCTTATTGCCTTCAAGGACTTTGATTTCTATAGCTTTTGGCTTTCCAACAAAGGCTTTTTGGACACATTCCCGTATTTCTTTTTTCACATAATCTATCCCTTTTTGCATTCTCCCCACAGCAATCTGGAGATTGTTCATTTCATTATCATCATCAGTAGCAGCAAGATTGTCTGAACTAAATGAGCTCAGCAGCAAGGCCAGAAACAGATTCAGTACCTAAAGGAAAATAGGAGATAAATGTAACTGCATTCATTTTTACATATGTTTGAAATCTTCAAACACTAAAGTCTCCAAATAATAAAAATTCAGTAGAAAGTGTGAGATAATGAAAAGGTACATGGTGATTGTGAATAGACTGCAACACATAACAAATTAGGAATTATGAAGAACTGTAGCAAGGGATATTATTAAAGAAATACATGACTAAAAGAAAAGATGGACTAGGTATGTAGTGACAGCAAGATGCACACAGTAAAATAAAGCATTAAAAATGGGTGAGCTCTGAGATCCTACATGCAATACTAAGACAAAACAAAAATGAATCTTTTTCATGTTACCAAAAGGATAATGAAACATCACAAACTTCCCACCCATCCTCTTCTCTCCTTCCCCCCCCACTCCCCAATTAAAGCATTTCTAGTTATATAGATCAACACTGGATAACAATCATGGTAAGACAGAATGACCAGCAAATAGATTATAGTTCTGTGGAGCCTTTATTGTTATATTTGAACTGTGGTAAATGTTGGCATTAGCTAGTGCTGCCATGACACATGTAAAAGCTTCTGTTCCATCTCTCCCTTTCCCCCAAGCCAGAAGAAGGAGTTTTTCCACTTTACTGGTTTTAGCTTCTGCTTTTCATTGACTTTCACAAGGATGGTCCTAGCTTAATTGTTAATCAATGTGTAACAACAAGAGTTTGGCCACTGTTAGTGGCTTCATAAAAACTGCTTCAGATAAAGGGCTGTTAGAATAGAGCAGATTATTTTAAATAAAAATTTCTAAAGAGCAAATTATACATTTGCACAAGGCTTTAACTGGTCTCATCATAAATATACTTTGCAATTTGTGTGTGTATATAATTTAAAAGAGAAGCGTGTGAACCATAATTGTGTATACAAATTGTCTTTGTCTCTTATCTTCTCTACCAATAGAATATGATATGAGTTGAGAATCTAACTGAAATTCCAGCAACAGCAGCAGGAAATGTGGAAGCAATTAAATGATAAACTAATAAGCTATGATTGATACAGTTGTAGTCTACTGTTGTTGATGTAAAGGGATATTTACTTAGAGATATTTCTGTGAGATAAGGTGTCTCCATAAATTCATTATCTATGTGGTGAGCAGACACACAGAGGTTAAGGTCCTGGTTTGTCTCCTAGCTCTCCTCTAGATTTTCTTCTTAACCTAAAGCCTCTCAATTTTGCAATCTAAAAAGAATAATTTCATACATATGTGCATATGCCTATCTGTGTAGTTATATAGATCTATCACATCACTGCTACAGTTCTCCCAGGAATGCAAGCGCTTCAGTTTCTTCTAAGAGCACAGTCTAACCCAATACTACCCAGAACTGCTTTTGATTGATTCAAAGACAACTGAGATATTTTAACATTAAGCAACATAAAACCACAGTTCCAACTTTATATTCAATTATCTCCTCTCAGAATACAGCTCAAAATTGGCTAAGGCTTAGAAACTGCCTAAAATTTGGGAAATCTAAATTTCTGTAACTTAAATTCAAGTCCTTAGTTTCCTTTTTTCCCCTTTCTAGGTAATTCAAACTGATGAGGGAAAGCATTATACCTTGTTTCTGTTTGTCTTTGCACTCATAAGACTTAACACAATGTTTTGTGATTAATAAGGATTCAATAAATATTTGTTTAAGGAATGAATTATTCCATAGAAGAATTCAGTAAGGTCAGCAATTATTCTGTAATTTTTTGAGTTTTTGTCTGAAGTATATCAATAATTACACCTGATTTTAATATAGTAAAATAAAATAGAATCAGAGTTCCAGTTCTCTCAAAAGTTTGATAGTCATGTGACATGCCTCCTCATTTTTGAAGAATATTATTGGGGTATAAAAAAAGAATAAATTGTAGAAATACTTCTGTTAGAACCAGATATTTCTTACATCCATATATATGTGGACATGTATGTAATCTATGACAAATATATGTTTGAATCCTTTGGAATTAAAACATACCACTAGGTTCCCAATCACCATGACCAACATGAAAACAATAAGGCACATGGTTTGGCCTGCCACTTCCATACAGTCCCACATGGTCTCTATCCATTCTCCACACAGCACCCGGAACACAATGAGGAAGGAATGGAAGAAGTCATGCATGTGCCAGCGTGGCAGTGTGCAATCAGTGTTGATCTTGCAGACACATTCTTTGTAGCTCTTGCCGAAGAGCTGCATGCCGACCACAGCAAAAATGAAGACAATGATGGCCAACACCAAGGTCAGGTTTCCCAGAGCCCCTACTGAGTTGCCAATGATCTTTATCAGCATGTTCAGTGTTGGCCAAGATTTTGCCAACTTGAAAACCCGGAGCTGGAAACAAGGGGAAAGATGCTTTCAGTATTAATCATAATGAAGATTTGGAAGTTTTTTATTTTGTCTGAAATGTTGTAGGTACACCTCTAAATGATGGCAAAAGTCAGTATATACTAGGCCAGTTCTGTTTTTATACTTTAATAGAAAATTCATGTTATCGGTGCTCTAAACTAAGAAATTATGTTGTTCTGAAAGTATTCATGTCACATAATTTTATATTACATGAAATTCCTGTAAAATTAAAGAAAGAATAAATACTTAGCTAATGTTAATGAAACCAAAATTGTTGAAGCACTTAGCTTGCAGAGTAGTGAATCAAATAGAAAGCTGGCCTAAACGCCAAGAATGATTAGGTTTCACCTCTGACACATATTTGCTGTATGACCCTGGCCAAGCAACTCACTTTTCCATGCTCTAGGCCAAACTTTGGATTCGGTCAAAAGGCCGCACTTAAGGATCTAGAAGGCCATATGTAGCCTCAAGGCTGTAGGTTCCCCACCCCTGTTCTAGGCAATTTTCTAAGACTATAAATTACAGAGAAGGTATTAGTTTTCATGAGTAGAGGTTGTTTCCTCACATGAGAGTTCCCTGTACCAATGAAAATCACAGATCAAGTCTCTATCCTTGCCTTATAGACTGACAAAAGAGAATAGTTAAAACCTTGTTAAGGGATTACTAATGAATTTAGGTAACTAAAACTCCCTATAATTTAGGGAAGAAAAATGGGATTAATTTGAAAAAAAGTGACTTTTAGACTATTTTAAAATTAAATAAGGAAAAAAAGAGGTTGATATTTTTAAAAACAAAATATCTTTTCCCTCAAATTTTTCATAGTACCAGTATAGATTTTGCTAAATATTTATTGAAAAGGCTCATACTAAAAAAATTTTGTAAAATTTTCATTTTTGATACTTAATTGCTTAGATTAATGAATGAGTTATAAATTTAATTATACTAAATATAAAACAATAACAAAAATGAACTGTTTGCCTAATTTTTTCAAGTTTCAAAAGCACATTTATTGATCCTTTAAAGATATCTATAGAAGTTTATCATTTTTTTTTGTAAATACCAATAAACCTCTTGGTTCTTGGTGCATAGGCATTTATATTTAACCCTTTACTGGCAATTTCATCATCTCACATTTTAATACTTCTTGAAAGTTCCTGATCATAAAAACATATAATGATTACAGTTTAAAATAAGCATCAAAATAACAAAGGCAGAATATAAAGATGGTGATTCTGCATCTACCAGTCTAAATGATCGGAGAACTGACAATCCTTCCACGTTGGCCAGGCCGAGCTCCATTAAACTAAGACTGACAATAATGCCATCGAAGATATTCCAACCCTCTTGGAAATAATAATATGGATCCATGGCAATTATCTTGAGAACCATTTCAGCTGTGAAGATTCCAGTAAATACCTAATGTAAAATATAAATGATTACTCTCATAACATTAAAAAATGCTGATACAATTATTTACAATTCAAAGATTTTAAAAGGTAATATTATGGTAGCTCTTAATATTACTCTAGATTAGAAAGTAATTTAATGGTGGAACATGTCTATGAAAGTTTAGGAAAATTTTTAAAATTTATCTTAAAGCATTGAACTTTTTCTCCAATTATAAAACAATTTATATTTTAGATTACCAGGCAAATGCCAATTTTAATTTTGATTTCATCATTCCCAATTTCTTATCTGTGGTTGAATAATTTCTGAAATACTTCAATGATGAAATCCTTTTCCCCTCCATCATCACCTCTTTCATTGCCAAATTAATTTTATTTTCACTTTTTTGAAAGGAATAATAATATATCATTTATTTGGAAAAACCAATCACTTTTATAAATGCTGATAACTCAATAGAATAGTAATATTCTTCATGATTTTTTTTGCGGGGTTAAGGCACATAGCATTTTGGTTGTAATGTTATAGACATTCCCTAAACATTAAGAACATGTTTTCACAAATGTTGTAAATTAATGACCTCTGGGTACATGCATGCCTTTAGATTAAGGTTAATGGATTCATAGAGCAAGGAACCAAAGATTTAATTAAAATCATTGGGAAACATCCTTAGTATTCAAACATCCTTAATTAAAATTAATGAGTTAATAGCTAAAATGAGTAAATAGTTAAAATACTCATTGGAACAAGAAAAGAAAACAATGAAACAAATTCATAGTTTGTGTTAGCTGAAAAAGAGAGGTTAAAATGAACAAGAAGATGGAAAGAGGCCTATCAAATTATGCTTCCAGAAAATTGTTAAATAAATTACATTAACTCAGAGTAGTTGAAGACTGTATTTTAAAGAGGTACAGTCAAGCTTACCATCTGTTTAGTGGTCTACTGTGCTTTAAAGGAACATTGTAAAAGTGAATAAGCTCCAAAACATGTCGTCTCCTAAAGTACAACTTTAATACAAAGAAAATAATCAGCTTTTCTAAATGTGTCAATGTTGATGAAGCCCTAAATTTCCCAAACTACAGAGAAAGTGCTAGACATAGGTGAATTCAGTGATTGGCACATGAAATGATGTTACCCATTCACTGAAGCATAAGAATATTTTACTTTGTGAAAGCTTATATACCTATGTGTGTGTATATATATATATATACATACATATATACACACACATATATATATATAATATACACACATATACATATATAAATCTAATTTATTTTAATGCATATATTAGGAAGGTAGTCTTCATTTTCAACAGAATTCTTTACTTTTGAAGAAAAACTCATCACAGGATCCCTTAAATATGTGATTACCTCTAATAATTGTGCAATATTACTTTATTTAAGTAAATTTCTTATATAGTAATAATAATAATGAAACAATAATAGATGTGTTTATATAGTGCTCATTATGTGTAAGGCTAAGTACTAACATGCTAAGCATTTTATAAATATTATCTTATCTGATCCTCACAACAACCCCGGGAGATAGATACTTCTTTTATCCCTGTTTTACAGTTGAGAAAACTGAGAGAAACAGATTATGTGACTTGTCCAAGGTCACATAACTAGTAAGTATCTGAGATAAGAATACAGCTCAGGTCTTCCTGACTTCAGGCCCAGTGCTCTATCCACTGGACCACCTAATTACCTCACTACTACCTTGGTACTTTTCAGGAGTAAACCTATTATATAAGAAACCAATGATAGATAATAGATAAATGATAGATGGATGGATTGGTGGATGGATGGAGGATGGATGGATGGATGGATGGAAAGAAAGACAGACATAAGAAACAGAAAGATACTTCAGAAAAAATGACCAAGAAAACTATGGTGAATCCTGGTCGCTAATCTACAAACCTCTGCTTATGACTAAAATTAGGAAAAAATATAAGGTAATGTTTTTCAGAAGTTTTGATGATTACCCATTCAAGTGCTATAACAATTATATAAATGTGTTTTGAAAACATACTGTTTTCATCTGAAATCTTCTTTAAGTATCATAATAGCATTTTCAAAAGCAGCTTATTGCTTTAAAATTGTTCAGTTTAAAATCACAACTATTCATATTGCCTTGGTATTAGGAATAAGATTTATTATAGATGGTAAAAATATTATTCTTCCAATATATAGTTTAAAATTCTTCTCACTTGAAGAACTGAAAAAGAGTGAGTTTCTTTTTTATTATTTTCCTGTAAATTTAGTTATCTCTGTCAGATAAGAGTTCCCAGGAAGTAGCTTTCATTCCAGATGAGTGTACTCCAGCATGGTGATTGTGGCTACTGAGACTGCTGGTCTTGGATACATGGGTTTATTTGCCATCTCAGACACTTATTGAGTGTGACTTGGATGAGTTATTTAGTTTTTTTTTACCTCAAGGTCCACAATGTGTAAAATGTAAATAATATTTGAACCACCTGTAAAATACTGTTCATGAAGAAGGTGATTTGCAAACCTTAAGGTTATATATAAATGTCTTATTGTTGTTGTAATGTTGGGGATGGGGAGAGTAATTTGATCAGGAGAACGCTGTTCAATTTGATGAGCATCCCCCTTCCCATCAACTTGATGGGATCGCTAGACCTTTGTTAGAAGAGAGTACCTCCTACAGATTAAGACAGGTACCTTACCTCTTTGCTGAGAGACATATGCCCCTAGACCTTGCTAAAGGACACAAGGAACTCCCCTAATTGGTCCCTGATGATGTATTTAGCTGATTCAAAGATGAATGGCAATTGTCAGTCGGGGGAACTCTTGGCTTTTTTTTATTTTGCAATTGGGTTAAGTGACTTGCCCAAGGCCATGCAGGTAGTAAGCGGCAAGTGTCTGGTCTGAGGCCAGATTTGAACTCAGGTCTTCCTGACTGTGCCAGTGCTCTATCCACTGCGCCACCTACCTGCCCCTGGAACTCTTGACTGTTGTCAGAACAACCTCTATTCTCTTCCAATATTGAACTGTGAAAAGCTTTGCTCTTCTAAAACCCCTTTTGCCTTGAACTTCCAGTCCAGAATGCCACAGGGTAAGGATTTGTCCTATCTCCTTTCTTTCTCCCTCTTCCCTCTCCCCTTCACTCGCCCCCAGTAGCAATCGCAACTTTTGGGGTAAACATTCCTTTTTCGTGAACAAAAGTGATCTCCACATAGCAGTGGGAAACATGTATTTGCCCAGACAAACCTGGGATTGGAGTTCTAGGTCCTCTCAATTCCTGGCTGCCTTTTTCTTCCTGTTTCTTTTTCCTTTGTACAAATCAGTTCCTAGTGATCTGAGAAATGGAAGTTTCCAAGCTCAAGGCTGAACTGATAGATAACCCTGATTGGAAGGGTTCTTGAGTTTGGGATTTATGTACCAGCTATCCAGAGGTAAAAGGTTTTCACAGCAGAATGTTTTTTAGAAGAGAAAAGTACCATCGGTAAGAGAACTCTGTAGATAAAGGACTAAAGCCTAGCAGAGGAGACCTGGATGGACCATGACAACCCTGCATGATAACAGGTGTGACTAGCTTGGACAGTGCAGAATTGAAGTGAATTGGAAATAACTAAGTAGTATTGTCACAAAGGATATTTGCCTTCTAGGACATTGTAATAAATGTAATGGGTTAAGTGGTAGTTGTTTCTTTTTGCATTTTGAATGTACTTATTCAGGAATACCTATGAGTCTGTTGCATCCTATGTATTTTCTGTGGTGGTGGAAATAAAAAGTTCTCCTCTATCAGACGACCGTATTCTGTGTAGAATACTTTGAAGGGAGTAGAGCCTGTTACCTACTAAATGAAAGCCATACCTAAACTTTATTTTAGAGATTTTCCTGGAGTTTTATGAGCTTGGTCTATATGGGGCCAGAGGCCCTCATGGTGGAACCCCTGGGCTACAAGGTACACATACTAGTCCATAAATTTATATCCATAATTTTAATTTTTGATCACCTAGAAAAATTGAAAAACCTTTTAAAAGTACCCTCTACATTGGAGAAATATTTTTCTACATTGCTTAATCTCTTAATCAGTTAATTACTATGCATTTATTAAGCACCTATTATTTGCCAGGCACTGTCCTAAGTGCTGGGAATACAAAGAGGCAAACAATAATGTCTGTCTTAAAAGACCTCACATATCTTTAATGTAAATAATCTTAAACCATCTATGATTTTATTTATATGTTGTTTAAAACTCTGATTGAATCTGCATGGCATAAAACATAAATATGGGAACTTGTATAACTAAATTCTTTCTAGGGTAAAGAAACAGAAAGAAGTAGGCAGAAGCACTAGCATTTCTTTATAGGCAGAAGTCAGCTTAAACGTCTTTGAAACTATGTGACAATAGTCAGTGTGGATTTCATTTTCATATTGCAGTAGAAGGGAAATTAGAACTCTAATAGAAACTTCTCATTAAATGTTAACTTGCTTTCTGAAAGCAGAGGTTACTGCTGTAAAATGTGGTCCTGACAATACAATGCTGTTTAAAATTCAAACACAATTGCTTAGCAAGCAGGATCCAGTTGAAAGGACTAGATTTATAATTATTGCATTTGTACAAAGGTGTTAGAGAAGTTTAAGCATTAACATAAACATCAAAGTTGCCTTAAGAAGAAAATAATAGATTCCATAATACAATATGAAATATTTATAATGATTCCACTTCATTTTTAACATTGGTCTGAGAATAAGGAAATATGGGCTCTGCCATGAACTAGATGTGTAACCTTGGGCAAGTCATCTTCCCTGATTCCCCAATTCCTTCAATTGTAAAAAGGAATTGAACAAGATAATCTCTGAGTTTCCTCTCTGGTCTACAGTTCTGTAGTTTATAAGAGGGATTTCTTTGAAGCTTTAAGGGATACATTGAATGGTAGAATCCAGATTAACAACAGTCTGGAAACTGGTCCAAATCTAATGGAATAGGGATAATGGTAGAGTCCTGTGTATAGGTTCAAAAAAATCAACTGCCCATGTACAAGATGGATGTGAGATGACTAGACCATGGCTCATGTGAAAAAGACCTTAGGGTTTTAGTTAACTATAAATTCAACATCAATCAGTATAATATCACTGACAAAAGGCTGGGGTGCTTTTGGACTACATTAGGAGAAGTCTAGGGTCTGAATAAGAGAAGAAATGATCCCACTGTATTGTGTCCTGGTCAAAACATATTGGGAGAATTGTTTACAGTTATGAGTACAAATTTTAGGAAGGGCATTGATAATCTTTTATATTTAGAGGAGGTTAACCAGTTCTGTTTAGCGACTCCAAACCATGGAGGATGGTGGGAAATAAGGCTGGAAAGGTAGACTGCGACCAGATTGTGGTAGTCTTAAAAACCAGTCAAAAGATTTTGGACTTGTTACGATAGGGAATCATTTTTGGTTTTTAATAGAGAAATGATAGTGTAGAAATATTGTTGTAGATGTGGTATATAAGGGGCAACTAGGTGATACAGTGGAAAAAAGTGGTATGTAAGATGAAACGGATGGGGGGAAGTTTGAATCTGAGAGAAATTTTGAAAAAAAAAAAGAAAATAACAAAATGGGTGCCAAAATTGGATATGAGGAATAAAACAAAGGGAAGAGTCAAAGATGACACCGAGGCTTCTATCTTGGATATTAGGTGGTAGTACCTCCAAATAAAATGAATTTGTTTAGAAGGAGAGTTTGTTTGAGGGAGAGAATAATGAGTTTAATTTTTGTCCTATTAGATTTGATATTATTGTAAGCAATTGACCTGGCTGTTAAAAATTTGGGACTAGAAAGCCAAGAGTATATCTATACTCACAGATGAGCTGAGGGTAGAAAAAGAAAATTATTTAATCAAGGATAGAGTTTTAAGGGAGTTCTACATTTTAGGATGGGAAGAAGAAGAGAAGGCAACAAAACAAATAAAAAAATAGGGGTCATAAAAGAAGGAAGAGTTTCAGCAAATTCTAGTGTCGTGGAAGCTTAAGAAAAAGAGTTATTTAACCCTGTTACTGTTCAGGGCAGCTGTTATCAAGTTTTGTTATTTAAAACCCACAAGTTTTACATGTCTCCTTTACCACTCACAGCATCACCACCCTAGTGCAGACCCTCATAATTTCATGCTTGGACTATTGCAGTGGCCTTCTGCTTGGTCTCCTGCCATAAGTCTTTCCCCATTCTGGTCCATCTTGCACTCAGCTGAACTCCAAGGGCTTCCTGTTATCTCCCGTATCAAATATAGAATCCTCAGTCTGGTTTTTAAAGCCCACCAGAACTTGGCCCCTTCCTGCCTTTTCAGTCTTCTTAAACTTTACTCCCTTCTACGTACCCTATGATCTAGCAACACTGGATTTCTTGATGTTCCTTGCAAATGACACATGCTTGAAATGTTCCACCTGTACACCTCCGTCTCTTGGCTTTCCTAACTTCTTTCAAGACTCAAGTCAAATTCTACCTTCTTGAGAAGGCCTTTTCCTGTTCCCCCTCATTGATGCTGTCTTCCTTCTAATGTACATATGTTTATGTGTATGTTTGCATATGTGCGCATAAACATATATATGTATACATATATACATAAGCAAGAAAGAAAACAGTTTACAAAGTCTATTTACTCTTCTAATATTATACTGTTAGTCAACAAATATTTATTAAGTGCTAAGCACTAAAGATACAAAGAAAGGGAAAAAACATGGTTCCTTCCCTCAAGGGTTAAAATTCTAATTAGAAAGACAGCTATTACGTAAAGATAGATATAGGTAGAGACATATTTGCATGTATATATACATGCAATTTCTATCTACATACATGTGAATATTGCAATGTCTATATACATATCTATGTGTGTACACACATAAATGTATATAGATGTGTATAAATGCTCATATATCTATATCTATTTTATATTTACATAATTGTTGTCTTTCCAATAAGAATATGAATACTTTAGCGCAGGAGCCATGTTTTTTACTTTCTTTGTATCCCTAGTGCTTCATATAAAACTTGCCATATAGTAAGCACTTATTAAATATTTGTTGTTTGACTGACAGTAAATTGCTAGAAGATTAAGTCACCAGTTTAAGTTATCTTCTTTCTCATTGTTCTTCAGTAGATTAAAGTGAAAACACTTGCATATAATTATCTTGGAAACAGTGCAGTATAGTTATATTTGATTGTAGTCATCACATTCTGTCTGTGGACACAGAGTCTTTTTTTAATGTGGTATTTCAAGTAAAATGTGTGTCACCTATGTCACCTCTGAGCAGAAATGAATCCCTGAGTCCACCCCTGAAGGGACCTGGGCCATTCCTTGTAACTTTTCTACTTTATTGATCAGCGTGCTTCCAGTAACCTAGCTTCAAAATGTCAGAATAAATCTGTGACTTTTCCATCACTCTGACATTCAATAAGTTGCCATATCCTGTTGCTCATCCCCTGCACCCTGTCTTCCCTCCAAAGAGTCTCTTCATCTGTTCTGTCTCCACTCATGCATCTACCATCCTAATGTAGGCCCTTATCACAAGATTATTATGATAGGCTCCCTGACTTTTGGTCTTTCCCCTCCCCAATCCAGATTTCTCAAAGCTGACAAATTATTCTTACTATTGCACTGGTCAGACCTGTGCTAAAACCCACCACAACAAAACAAACAAACAAACAAACAAACAAACTCTAGTGAAGCCTTATTGCAGATAGAATGAAATATGAAATCCAGATATTTCAAGGTCTCCACAATCTGGCTCCAAACTAACTTTCTGGCTTTATTTCTGTAAATTGTGGTCTAACACACCATACTTGCAGGTCCAATCTTGGGAGCTACCCATCAAACCCCACTCTTTTTGAACTGTTATGCCTCCAGCAAGAGTTTCCTCTGGGAAAGTTTCTGGATATGGCTTTTATCTAAGTTTTCACATGTGTGGATCAAAATGTGTCCCAATTCCATACAAATTATCAGAGTAAAAATACATCAGTTTAGGATCATCATTACTCTACCCCCTAGAAAATACAAAGGATTCACAAGATACCATAAACAATGCACAAAACACATAATGGACTCATTATGGTTCATAAACAGTAATTCTCCTCCCACTCATGACTCCCACTTTCCAGAACGGCATATTCAGTCTCCCAAACTTACAGAATCATCCTGTGATTTGTTCTTCCCTTGTCAGAGAAACAGACTTGGGGCTGATAGAGAGGCAACTGCTTTCCCACTGAACTTGCACTATTCAAATAACCCTTTGGAAAAGCAAGTACACAGTCCAGGTCTCTTATTACCTAATATGTTAACTTTATTCCCCCGTTATTCATCTTGTTCATCGTGCATAATTTTCTCCCCAAGAGGTAGGTACTACTCATAAACTTGGAAAGTACCCTTTCTCTGATATAAAGCTGCATTTTGGAGAAGCAAGTCCCAAAGCTGACCTGCACTATCTTCATTAAAAAGCTAGATTCCAGGAAATACCCTTCATCTTTTACTATAAGGCTCTATTCCAGAAATCACATTCTTGGGGTTTTTAGGGAGGCAACCCTAAGGCTGATACCACACAGGAGTCTCATTCTTTTTTAAAGGAAGATGGAAGTCAGAACTCCTACCACCAGACCAGGTGATTTCCTTTCCCATAGCTTCTCTGTGTTTGGGAGATTACGCCAATGATTCTACAAGACTGTTGTAATCAGCTTTAGAGGGCCACGAAGTATGCACTGCCTTACAGGCTTTTATGCAATTATTACATCTGGAATTTTTCACTTTTGATGCATTTGTAAGGAAAGTTCTTCACTCCCTTAGAGACATCAGGGCATCATTGTAGCCTGGTATATACTATGCTTTTGCTTGAATGATCTCCTTTGTCTGGGTCCCACTTCATTTCCTCCTCGTAGAATCTCTAGCTTCCTTCAAAACCCATCTTAGGTGCCACTAGAGTCTTTCCAGATATTGCTATCAACATTGTTCCCCTACTGTAAGTACTGCATATAGCTTTTATATTTTGTACATATTGCATTTCCTCAGTAGATTATAAACTTAAGGGTATTGATGATTTCATTTATGCCTCTGTATTCCAGAGTGCCTAGCCTAGTGCAGTAGGCATTTAAAAAATGTTGAATGGAAACAAACTGGATTATATTCTGACTAGTATACATGGATTTTTCCTGATGTAATATATTTGCATATCACTTTGTGTATTCAGATGGACTTACCAGGTTTCCTACAGACAGCACACTGTTGAATTGCTGAGTCATAGGATAGTGTTCCATGGCCATAAATAGAGTGTTTAAGACAATGCAGATGGTGATGGCAAGATCAACAAATGGATCCATCACAATCAGATTAACAATGCGTTTCACTTTTAACCATGGATCCCAGCAGTCCCAGATGAGGAAAGTATTAGCAAATCTATACCAACATGGTGGACATTTCTGCCTGGATTCTTCAAGTTCTAGGGGGAAAGAGGAGGAATTGTAAAGGACTATAAACATAGTTCCTTCTTATTATTGCTAATAGATCAAGATTATGTATTTTAGCTAAGATTGGTTCAGAAATTTAAAGAACAAATAAATATTCATGACACTAAATTAAACTCACTTTAGAAAACAAATCCATTAGCTAGTTTCATGGATGCTTATTAATAGGAATTTCCTTTAGATATGCTGTCCTTGGCTTTAATCCAATTCAGGAAGTTTTCGACAGTAATGTAATAATTTAATTCTGATTAAGTGACTGGGCTTATTTAGGCAAAAAAAAACCCTGTATGTGCTGTTTATCAAAGCAGAATTGTTCATCTAGCTTAACAAGTCTATATTTTCTAAAATTATAGCCACATTCTGATTTCACTTGATAATATCTTACCTTTGACATTTTCTAGTGTTCCTGTCTTTATTCATACAATTGTGCACCTATCTTTATTGTCTCTAGAGAACAGAATCTTTAGATTAATTCCCTTCACACATCATGAGAATGTGTGTATATAGCCTTTAGTTTTAGATCTAAGAACACATTTATCATTTTCTGCTTCACCTAGGCTCTTTCTGAGAATTTTTTTTTAATTATAAGAAGTCAGTGTTCAAGAAATCTGTTAAAAATGAATTTAAAAAGGAAATATTTTCTGGTTTATATTTATAAACAAAATGTAAAAAAGACCAAAGGGTTATGAATTACTTGCTAATTTAATACCTGTAATCATGAATACTTCATTCAAGAAGAGAGACCAAAATTGATGGATATGAGAAATAGCACCAAAAAAATTGAAACCAATTATATCTTAATAGACAAGAACCAGCAAGGTTGCTGATAAAGAAATCATTTCAGAACAGTTTTCTCTGTATAACATAATCATTAACTAGTTAGCTCAAAGGTCAAAATTAACACCAAAATAGAAGGATAAAGATGAAAAAATACTTATGTTTACAAGAGTTCTCACCTCACCTATTTGAGTATGCTGAAGAAATGGATAAAACTAAAAACACTGACATTAGTGAAAATTAACTTCTTAGAAAAGTTTAAACATTTAAAACAGGGACTTCTGGGGCAAAAAACCTCAGAAACCACATTTGGCAACAAACATGATCCCTGTACCTAAACAAGAGACTTGGCATCCAAGGGCGACATTATTTTTGAATACAAGATTATGCTAAAACATTATGCAAGAGGATGATAAAACATTAGGACTAGTATCATCTCACATCACTGAAAAAATCCAGTGGAGGAAGAAACAAGCTATAAAAAGCTTGATGTGAGATCAACCAAGACAGATCATTCCAAGAGTATCTATAGACCAAAGTGATAGGAAGACAACAAATAGAAGCAAAATGGAACAGATATGCATTTCAATAAGGATCTATTTTTATCATCACTGACAGTAGAACTACCCCAATTAGAGTCTAACAGTACTTAATATGCTTGGAGAGGAAACAGATATTTCACTTAAGAAAAATAAATGCATAAGAGTGGTTGGACCTCACAAGATAGGAAATCTGTATTAGGATTGATTTTAATTTTCAAGGCACTTATGGATTGATTTTCAAAATCGGGGGGAGTCAAGTTTCAAAAAATAGAAATAACCCAGGATGGCATTACTACCAACAAAAGTTACTTAGAAGGCCTTAGTTGTTTTCAATCCATATGTGTCTAATTTCTTACCTGCATTGAAGGTGTGTTTGATGAAAATATAAGATGGGAATAGGCAGGTTTTCATAGATGATTTTCTACAACATAACATACTTCCACAATTGACTGAACAATAAAGAATATAAGATCCCACTGTGTCTATGCTTTATTGATTATAAAACATTTTTTAAATAGAACAAAAATGCAGCTTTCAAGGCTTTCCTCCAGTGTTTTTGATGTATGTTTTAAAATCATATAAGATTTCCTGGTAGATGCAGTAACAGATAACTTTCCTCAATAATCCTTTGATTATCAATATTAAATGAGATTTAAAACAGAGAGACACGCTTACCAAAGGAGTTCATTGGCATCACACAAGATGTTCCATGTTGAAGTACATATTGAAGAGGGATTCTTTGTTTGTGGTTGATAATGTACACATTGCAGCAAGCCTTAGAATATTAGAGGGCTTACTAAATTTGGCCAATGGTTATTCTAAACAGATTTGCCTAGCCATCCACACGTCAAAATCAAATAGATGAAGAATGCCTATTGCCTAGACTATGACATGCAATTGGATAGGCCTCCTGTTGAGTCGATCATCAGTACTTACAGCTTTTTTTCTCACACATACACACACATCCCATATGAACAGTGAGCTAGGCCCAAAATTAGAATAGGAGGAAAACATATGGGTTGAATTACATTTGGAAATTTATATAGTACTTTCAAACATCCCATGCTGCTACCTGTGCACAAATGCCCATCTATTCAACAACAGTATTTTCCCAGAAACACTAAATAATGACAATTCATAACACTGTAATAGCCAAAGAATTAAAATTTTAATTGTCACAAAAGACATAAGGAAATGCATCATGAGTATAAATAGATTAGAGCATATTACTTATAATGAGTTCAGTGCAAAGAATACTGTAAAAGATATCATCAAAGAAAGAGAAAAGCTTGAAGAGGAAGTAGACTGATGGATTAACCAGGGCAATGAATAATAAATGGGTAACCAAGTTTGTGATTGGTATCCACAAAATATTTTTTAAAACCTAGAAAATGGTGTCCAGAATTTTGGACATATCTTCTGTGTAGGACACGTGGAAGAGTATTGACAAGAATTACATGTGATGAGAAGCACTGATAGGTTGCAACATGTACCAGTGGAGGTAGTGCTCATGCCAGTTAAATCATAGATCCATGGAAGTATCTAAGAATTTGCAGAACCCTCAAGTATAACTATAAAAATAATGTACCTCAGTGACCATGCAAAAGTATGAGTTTTGGATTGTTACATTTATTCTTAGACCTTTGGTTTAAGAAACTAGAGTCCTCAGAAACCTATACCAGGAAAGTATGTTATTAAATAACATCATACAAACACACACATAAATATGCTTTCAAAAGGTCAAGATGATTAATATAATTAGGATTTTCTACAGACTGTGGTATGTTAAAACTATTTAACATATAGCATGACACCAGTCACATGACATCTTTCTTTCCTTGAGAGACAGAGGGAAAATAAACTGTGACAAATGCTACAGAATATATATATATATATATATATATATATATATATATATATGCATATATATACACACATACATAGACATAGACATATGTGTGTATACACACACACATATATATGTGTGTGTGTATATATATATATATATATACACACACACACATACATATATATATTCTTTCTGACCAAGTCAGAAGGAGGAAGGGAAATGGTTCCACAGCTTATGCTTCCTTGACTTACTTGAAAGACGTGAATAGATATTTCTCTTGTCACATGATAGTGACCAGTATGAACACTAATTTTTTTTAATGTGTCTGCTGCATGAGGAAGAGGAACCTTTAATCAATCACCATGACTAAGTGTGATGGAATTCCTGAAATGTCCAAATAATTTACCACTTTTCTCTCTATTGCTGTAGAATATTGGTTCCTTGGGATAGAAACAAAAATCAAACTTATTTTTTTTCTTGCAGCCCATTGTGTAGTATGTCTCTAATTTATAACAGGATTACAAAGAGTTGTTTTTAAAAATGTTTATGATTTGTTGTATTTTTGGATTCATAAGAGAACATCATAACAAGAAACTTATAATAATGCAGTACCTTGGTATCATGAGATGCAGCCACTGTAGATCGGAGACAAAGCAAGAAGCAGAGAGGAAAAGTTTAAGAACTGTCTTTCTGATCAATAAGACAGCACTGTATTTAGTATGATCCATGTGAGGTCAAATTGTTCTGATCTCATGTGTTACAAAGTGAATCTCAGTATTCTAACTTTTCTACAAATCAGATGAATTTCTAAAATCAAATTCAGACAAGTATGGACAAAGTATATCACAAATATTCATTTTAAGAAAGCAACTAGTGAAGACCAGCCTGTCCCATGAAAAAGTCTGAGTTTTGTGCCATCTCCTACATACCTTCCATAGTGTTGGTTAATATGCTGGCTATACTCATAGCTCTTTGCCTCCCAGAGGAATCTTCTAGCATCTCCATAGAAATCTGGTAAGAACTTAACCGCCTTTTTCTCACTTCAGTTTCTGTAGTGGTGCCCTGCAAATAAAATACTGATGGCTCAAACCAGTATCTTAAATTGGATGCTAAAGCATAACAAAGCAACTCAGAGGACTTTTAGAAAGTCATGCTTCATGCAGGTTTGTGTATAATGTAGTATAGGTTATTCAATTCATCATTAATTTGTAAAGGAGATTTCTTTATCTAAATTTGATAACTTTTACAAGGAATTCAGCTGTTTAGTGAGTAATCAGTATTGGAAAATCCTAATAACATCATTATGTTATTATCTGTCTCCAAATTTTCAATGATGAAGGTATCATTGTGATTTTCAGTGATAAAGATTTTTTCCTTAAATGTACTAAAAGCCATATATTCCCAGTCCTACTTGAAATGTTCCTATTTTCATTAAAACATAAAAATGTTTCGCTTATTCAGAGTAATAATGTTCAGTTTCATATGAACATTATTTTTCTCCCAAAAGAAAAATATTTGAATTAATTTTCTTTAGATTGATTCATTTTCTTTAATGCTACATTACAACACTGACATTCATGGGCCAAGTTTTTTCTCTCCATGCACAAACACAAATGTGCACTGAAATGTGTGTGCTTTCCTATGCCATTGTTAATTACTTTAAATTTGAGTTTCTGCCCTGAAGAGTCACACTAGAGGTCTCTAAGAGACAAAAAAAAAGAAATAATTTTCAACATCTAGCCCTTTGAACATAGCACTGTTAGCAATGATAGATTCTCTAATTAAAGGTAGTGCTCAAAAAAAATTATCAAGTTAATATCCATGACCCCAAATTCAGAGCTGATAGTTAATAAGATATTCATATATATTGGTTTTATAATTACTTGAAATATTATAGAATATAGCAGAATGTGGCTGTACACTTTTAGAATGAATAAATATACTGTAAAGATTCAGTATCAAAATTATTAATTGTTGGTAAATCTATGTGCAAAATGAGCTTCCTATTTAGTTTAATGTTTTAGAGAACAAAAAGAACACAACAAATTCCTTAGATTCTGTGGTTCACTGCTTTATTAGCCAGGCAATGTTTTTGTTTTTCTTGCTGTGTAGAAACACAAGCTGGCATAGAAGAAAAAAAAGAGAGAGGAAAAAAATACTACCCAGGCTTGACCTATGTCAGATTTGCGTATCATGTCAATAGTAGTGGGTTTATCTATTATCACCTCTGGTGGAAGATGTCCAGTAGGTGACGTAAGTGTTGAAGGTCCACCCACCAAGGAAACCACACCATTGCAATCCACAGTGCTGTGCATCTTCCCATTGGCTGGAAGCACTGGCACCACCATCCTGGATGACATACTGGCCTGACTAACGTTACTGTGGCGTCGTTCTCCATGTCTGTGCGGCACAAAGAGTGAATCTCTCCTGCTCTCATTGTCTTCAAATGTGCTGTGCTCGTCATCAGCAAAATCATTTTCAGAGCCGACATCCTTTGCTCGACCTCTGAAGCTGAAAATGCTCGTTTTGCTATTGCGCCTTGGGGAAAACAGGGAGCCACGGATGCTCAGCAGAGACTGAATACAGTAGGAAAAAAAAAAGGAAAGCAAAAATAAATTGAATGCATAGACGCTGGATCCAGAAGGTGCCTTAGATATCATTTCATCCATGCCCCTCATTTTACGCACAAGGAAACTGAGGCTTAATAAGGTTAAGTGACATGTCCATAGTCACACAGATAGTTACATCACAGAGCTGGGTTCTCTTTGCTCTGTATCATGCTATCTATGCTAAATTCTTAAAATTATTCAATTATATTTCTTTTGGGTCAGGGTGGCCATATTATAGAGTAGGGTAATCAATTTTATTTAAAACACAAGCCACCTTTTGGGGAAAATTCTGTTGAGGAACATACCTAAAGTTAGATGCAAAAAGTTCTTTCTGAATAGGAAGGTATTGTGGCTAGGAATGCATGCAACTTGGAAAATAACTTTTTCTGCTCCCTGACCCCCAAACAACATAAATTAGTTGTTTTGAATGAGAAATTATAAAAGGTCTCCCTCTCCCCTTCATAGATCCTGGTAAAAGAGTATTCTCTCTTTTCTTTTCTCTTTTTATGAATATAACTGGAAATTAATTTTACTCTCATGTACCTGGGAAAACACAGAAAGCAAGTGCAGAAGATTAGCCGTATCTGGCTGTCCATCTATGAATTTAGAACATCATCTCCTTTCCAGAGTTACCTACAGCTTTTCTGATAGTTGCTAATGGTCAATGCCATTCAGTATTTCCTACTCCATGAAAAAATTAGTAGTTGGAGTCAGGAAGATTTTTCAAAATCTGTCTCATATACTTGCTATGTGACCCTGGGCAAGTCACATAATGTCACTCCACTTTAATGAGAATATGAGAATAATTATAGCACCTACCTTACAGTTGTTGTGAGGATCAAATGAAATAACAAATGCAAAATTATTTCCAAACCATAAAGTGCTATGTAAATTCTATCATCATCATCATTATCATCATCATCATCATCATCATCATCATCATCATCATCATCATCATCATCACCACCACCACCATTTATTATTTATTCATCATTTGATTAACCAGGTAGTGTTTCTCTGTTGCTTGTTCTGTAGAAACATTGGCTGGTATAGCAGAGAAAAGACTACACAGGCTTTGCCTTTATCAAATACATTAAAAATTCTGAGATTGATAAGAAAAAGTTAAGCAGATAGATATGTAACTAAACAAAGACTACAAAGATAGATTCTAGCAAAGAGAGGAAAAAAAGGTAACCAATCTCTTCTGTTGTCTCTTCAGGGAATGTCAACAATCACCTGTGTTCACAAATAAATAACAAATACCAGCTCTGGAGGTAATGGTTGCAATTTAGCATCGAGTCTGTCCTGTTACTTTTATGAACAGTCTGTTTTTTTAAATCATTTTTAGAGCTCATGAAATGCACTCATTAGCAACACCCAAATAATATGGTGTTTAGTGCAACATTTCAAAAATAAATCAATGCAAAATCTTTGTTTACTCCACTTGCCACAAACGATGATATCCCTTTCCCACCTAATCACTCAATAATTTATGTTATGAGCAACATATAACATATTACTATATGGGCAGTAACTAATATTTGCCCCACTTACACATTGGACAGGAATCCCTGTCCCTACTAGAACTCACCACTGCTGTAAGGAATTTTCTTTCCTTTTGATCTTCCCTTCTTCCCATCCCTACCCCCCAAGAGCTCTCTGCCATTTTACCTCCTTTCCCAGATGCATTTTTCATCTTTGCCTCAGGCCTCCTTACTCTCCTATACTTGTCTCTTTCTTTGCTCTTCACTATTCCCATAGTTTTGGCTCTAACATTGGGGGGGAGGGGAGGGAGAAGAAAAATTCCATTTCACTGCTTTTTTTTCATAATCCTTTCCCCATTCACTCCTCTCCTTTCATTGACCCAAGAACTGAATGATAACTAGAACACATACTGAAAATTAGCAGTGTAGGTAATCAAGAAAGAAAGAGAGAGAAAGGAAGAGAAAGAAAAAGAGAGAAAGAAAAAAGGAGGAAAGAAAGAAAAGTAAGGAAGGTGACAGATAGTATTGCTGTGCTCTCCCGGTGCTGTCGGAACACCATCTGGAATATTGTGTTCAGTCCTGAGACTCACAGAGGTGATCATGAAGTGGTAAAACTATCATGCAGCTTTTCCTTATTTAATTGCAATAGTCATTCTTTTTGCTGCTAAGGACTAGCATGTTTTTAAATCTTAATCACTGAGACAAAAAAAAAATGTGATTTATATAAAACTCTAACTTGCAATTGCAAAAATATTTTAAAATTAGACTGAGAAATGTAGATCTTTATAATTCTGTGTCAGTTCAGTTCCTGCTATTTTTCTTGAGACTCTTTATCTAATAATAACTGCCATTATGTAGTGTTTTAAGGTTTCCAAAGTACTTTACACATATTTTCTCACAACAAACTTGCTAAGCAAGTACTATATGCATTATTATCTCTATTTTACAAATGAGGAAATTGGGGCTCAGAGAGGTTAAGTAATTTGTCAATGCCTAATAATTTATCATATAACTAGTCAGTGTCAGAGCCAGGATTTGAACCCATTTGTCTTCAAGCTCCACACTCTTTCCAATATTCTATACTGCTTCATGATCCAGCTTAAGTACCAGGGGTCATGGAAGAATAGTATTATGTGGAAAGAGGACTTGTCTTGTAATCAGATGACCTCACTTATTATCCTCACTCTGATACTTATTAACAGTGTGACTTTGGACAAGTCACTTCACCTCTGGAGCATCAGTTTCCTTATTTGTAAAATAAAAATGTTGAACTAGATTATTTCTAAGATCCAATGTAGCACAAGCATTTTTGCAATTCTTTTATTAGTCATGAATTATAAGATCTCAAGCCTACTAGGTTTTTTTTTCAGGTTGATAAAAAAAAACATGCTAGAAAGTTAAATTTGAGTGAGCAAAATGACTCTTTGATGTTTAGGTTTGTCATCCTAAAGACCATAGACCATTAGTATCACCCAGCCTCATTTTATAGGTGTGGAAGTGAAGGCTAAACAAACTTTAAATGATTTACCTAATACTGTAGAAGTAGCTGGTAGCAGAACCAATATCTGTATTAAAATTCTGATTATCAAGTAATAATGGAAATCATTTACTCTTTAAACAGTAGGCTGTTTTAACATAGCAAAACAAATGAGAAATAAATCATTATGTGATTTCAGGATAATGTTGTGGAAATTTAAGAATTTTAAGAAGGGGATAAAAGTAGACGTAGGATAATGCTACGACCAATAATTTCTCAAGGATAGTTAAACATAGGAATACAATCTTTAAATAAAAATCCTGTCACAGAAATAGAGAAATAAATGATGAGTTGTGGGAAAGTTTAAATAAATTTTATTTATTTCCTGACTAAATTACTGTTTTCAAACCATCTGAACAGCCAGTCTCACTTCTTTCTATTTCATTTTCACTACTCTTTTCAATATAAGCATTCTTTTTGACTGTTCAGGGTTTTTAATTCACTGATTTAAAGCTTGTGGTAGGCTCAATCCTGCTAATGAACTGTGCTATGTGAAGTATATCCACAGCCTTATTTGAACCCCATTTCCTCTAAGCTGTGGAAATAAGTAGTAGGGTAGACTATTTGAAGTTGAAATGATGTCTTTCAATAATAAAACTCATTATCAAATAACTGATATAACTGGATGAAAAGTTTCTACTCTTAGAGTTCCCTATACTGACTAAATCATAAGTCAATATTACACACACAAAAAATCAAAAAATCAATTAACTAACAATGGAACAATTATGGAAATAATTGTTTCCTTAATTATGAGTTTTATGTGTAAATATACACAAACATGGATATGTATAAACATTCAACTCTGTGGCATATGTGTACCTTTATATGGAAATATTTAAAAAGTTTTTAATTCCATTCAAGCTTGATTTGCTCATCTCTTTATTATTAAACTCAATATGAGGCTTTTCCAAATGTTCTCATTACTAATATTGTCAAACCAATAAAACCTGTAGAAACTCAGACCAAGAAAACCTAGTCCATAACTATGTACTTACAGGAGAATAAAAAGACAACTTTAGTTCAATTGTTACAAAATGTTTGATTTTCTTTGGCTCTATCTGTATATATTCTCAATCTCCTTGTATTTTAGAGAGAAGAATTTTTTGTGCTGTGTGTAGACAGAGCAGGATCATGTGTTGTTTTTCTTTTTTATTTAGCCCTATAATTGGTACTTTTATGGTGCAGATGAATGTTATTTAAAAATGTTATTTCATAACAGTGTGTGATGTGTAGTCCTGCTACCACATCACAGATAGTTCAAAGCCCAAATAGTACTTATTATTCTAGTTTCACAGACATACATATACTATGTTTTATCTTGCTTCTAAGATTGTTCTTATATCCTACAGCACTGATTGCATTGGTAGATGGCAATTAAATCAGAGGGAAAATGGAAACATCTTCTATTTTCATTTTCTCCTCTAAGGCTTCCTAAGTTGTACATTGTATCTTGATGTGATAATGGTATAATGGAAATTCACAGTAGCATAGCTTTCATTTATCCTTTCTCTGAAGGTACAGGGTAGATCTATAGAAACACTTTTCTTCAAGCTCCACACCCATCTCACAATTAAAACTTTTGATACATGTAGAATTTTTATGGCAACTTGGACATTTTGACTACAATTTTCAAAATGACGATGGTAGAAAAGTCGAGATACCTAACTGTCTTACAAAGTAGACATTTCTGACAAATTGCTTCATACCTATGAACTGAATTTTCTCAAAATATGGGAACAGTCATAGCTAAACAAATGGAAAAAAAATTAAATGGCTGTTTTGTGAATTAAAAACACTGATGAGTAAATTAAAATGTAGGTTCATCCATTCTTTCACTTTTTCACACAGTGAAATCAAAATTATGTATTGCCATAGCTTCCCATACAATGGAATTAAAAAGAGTAAATACCTGATGAGGAGAAGAGAATCTTTTTTCATAATTCAGTCGGCTTCCGTCCACAGATATGTGGAAACTTCTTCTGACACTATCTTCAGATTCAGATTTGGGAAACTTATCACTCTCTCCTTGACCTCCTCCAGGCTGCTCCTTCTGTTTTCTTTTCTTCCTTCTATTTCTTCTTTCTTTAGCACTTTTTGAGCTCAATTTTGATGCTTCTGAAGAACTTTCCAAGAGCTCCCCTAGCCCACCTATTCCACTGAAATCTCTTGATGCAGCTGATGCTGCTGCTACTGCCTATTGTACCACAAAATCATACACTTTAGCATGCAGAACTTTAAAACAAAACAAAATTAACTTACAAACTCTATGACATATCAAAACAAATATTTGTAATAATTCATGAGTTGTATTTGAAAATATTTCATGTATTTATTTTTTATATAAATTGACCTTATCCAATAGTGAACCTTATTCTTCCTTTTTGAGTTTGGTGAGACACAAGATATGATTTGAGGGTCTCATGTCTATATTTCCTGGATCAGTCATTTATTTTTTACTGACTAGTTCATGGGAAAAATGCTCCCTTATTACATTCATTGCCACTGACATTATGAATTTCCTATGATATTTCACAAGTATCTCTGGCAATTTGGGTGCAGTCATTATGGCAGCCTAGCACAAATGGGAGACTTCCATGGTCATAAACACTGATAGATGGAACTTATAGTTCTATCCCTTCCTATAACTGTCTTTTTTGAGTGTTGTGAATAGCTGAATGGCATTATTGCTCTTAAATATAGGAAAGGATACATTTTGCTCAGTTTGATAAGATATCCTTAGTTCTTTATTTGGATTAAATTATGTCTTGAAGTTCATAATCTTGAGTAAAAATTGGATTTAGGTCGTGTTTATTTATTGTATTTCAAATGTTTCCAATAAATATTCAAGTTCTGAAACCTTTACCAGTTAATAAAAGGATAAAATAGAACAATGTCTTAAGATAAATTCCTTCTGTTATAAGAAACCATAATATATCCCTCTCTTAAGCTTTCAGTTCAAAGCACCCCAAAGCAATTTGGCAGATTCTTTTAACCAAGACTAGCTCACCCACCTCTGAAAATCAGCCAGGTCTTAGGGAAAAAATGGCAACCATTCTATGATTTCACTTCAAGGATAAATATTTTCAGCATGGAAATATGAGTGTAATTTATTTAACTATGACTACAGGAGAGAGTAAAATAATCAGAAGGTAGATGGTAGAGCATCAGTCTCACAAGAGCCAAAAAGCACTATTAGCTTGTATTGTATTATTAATGGAAAGGTCCCAAGACATGGTTTATTTGTAGCCTAGCATTAGGGCTATGTTAATGTAATATAATATGAATAGAAATATTTTGTCACAAATTGTATAAGTAAGGGAAACAATCTTATTTCAGAACACATGAAAGGCAGAGAATATGTAAGAGAGTAGAGTTAAACGGCAACAAGCAAGTAATTTAGAAAGTAATAAGCTCTTGCTTACTAATTGAATTCTGCAAACACATTGTCCAAACTTTTTTTCAGTTTTATTTCTGTATTAGTGACTGGCTGCATTGCTTCCCTGACAGCACTAACACTGAGGTACCTTCCAACATAATACTTTTCCTCTTGTTTTTCTCTCTCTTGCTCATAACTGCCATTGTTCTAGTGGTTTGTGATTAACATTGAATTGAATTTTATATAATCTATTCATAGCTAACATTGCAACATTGTCGATGTACTATCTTGATTAGAATATTATTACTTTCCTAGCTGACTTGCTAAATTTTAGATCTTATAACATAAAACAGCTATATATATAATCATGAAAGAAAAAATATTTTATTCTCACAATTTCCCCATGTTCTAAGGATTCTGACATCACTGTAGTATAACTCCATTAATTCTCAATCAGCGTAAAATCCAGCTATTAAAATTTCTCCTATGTATTACAGCATCTAACCCTTTTCTACATGGAGGTTTATATTTAGGTCTCATAAGCTACCTTTTTCCATTTAAAAAAAAAGTCTTCTTATGAGATGTTTTTCCTCTGAGAACAATATAAGCTGCTGAACATGTGAGATAATGGGTTTCATGATGCTAAGTGTTCAAAGACCATATATTGAATGGATAAATATAATTGTCCAGAACATAACTACCTATTCTCCTTTTGTGGTTTTGTATTTCTTTATCTATTTAAGTTGCACTTAGTATGTGAATTCACTGGGCTAATACTAGGTCTTCCTCCATGTCTAAATAATGATGAAATGATGGCTGTCCCTCAGCAGATGTTAAAGAGAAACCAAGATACATTAAATCATTGGTTGGATGGTATGTTGTGATGTGTTGCAGGTGGTGAGATAAGTCAGCAAGACAAACTGGGATCTCAAATGATCTCATATGTCACACACCTCCAATTTTTTCATCTGCTACTTCTGTTTGGTTGGATTGCAGCAGAACTCTGTTCTTCTTACTTGAAAAATAAGAAATTTTTTAAAATTCAAAATAAAGTATGTGTAGTGGTATGGTCATAACAACTACTGGGAATTTTCTGGTTGTTTAAACTTCTGCATGTATAAAGTGAAAGCCCATCCATTTTTTTTATTAATTAAGCTCTGGAATCTAATGACATTCTTTTGTTAATTATGAAGATGAAAACTTTAATTTTGCTAGCCAAATTGTAATTTGACTATTTACATTCTGCTTGTCTAAATTCCATTTCACTTTCAACTAGATGTAGCAGGTTCCTATTTCTAAAGATTTTACATATTTGAATGGTGCCACATTTTACCCTCAAAATGACTGTATTTCAGAAGCAAAATGTTAACTTATAAAGTTTGTCAACATTGTAAATCTCACCATATTTTATTGCATATTTTGTAATAGTGTCACTCAATAATTTAAGACTATAGATCACATGCAAAATATTGATATTATTTCTTACGTATTATTAGATGCATATATAAATTCCACAGAGCAACCATAAAGAGCTTGAATAAAATGACCTCTATCCTGTGTCAGTGTCAATTTGTTGGGTGTATATTATTTTGTTCTCATTTAGTGAGCTAAAGTAAAATTTATAAATAATTAAAATATATTCAATACTATCACCCCTAGAGGTTAACTGATTTGCCAATGACATAGATGGCAAGAAACAGATCCAGTATTTGAATCCAGGCTTTCTAAGTCCAATTCTAAGGAAACTTGCACTTTCTACTCCACTATGCTGTTTCTAAGTAATATTTCCTATTACCCAGCTTATTTTTCTCTGAGAATCTCGAAGAAGCAATAGAAGGAGGAGGGAGCAGGACTGTCCTTATTTATTGGTGAAGATATCAGGAAAAGGAAGATGAAATTATTCATCCAAAGGCCTGACTTAAATTCTGTCTATACAAGAACAGCCCTGTTAAAGGAACAGACAAATGCACATAGTCCTGAACAGTTCTTTGGAGACATTATAACTGAATTTCCCTTGAAACACCTTTTAGAAAAAGTATTTGAAGTGTTATTCACTGGGATGTCAAGCATTATGCATGGTCTGTTCAAATACTGTTAAGTAGAGAATGAAAAAGCAGTTAGATTTTGAGCTCCTTGAGGTCAGGGACTGGCTTTTGCCTTTCTTTATATCCCCAACACAGCACAGTGCTTGGCACAGAGTAGGTGCTTAATACATGCTTATTGACTAACAATAGTTCATTGAATTGAAATATATTTTTGGTATATATCTTAACTTTTTTTCTCTAGAGTCATACTATCCTCACTATTTCCCCTATCACCTAGCCTGATTTATTTTCATTTTAATCAACTGACCTAAGACTAGAAATTGGTTATAGAACTTTATAAGATGTAGTCCAACATCCTTTCTCAAACTGTGTGTTTAACCATCTACTTTGGTTTAATCTAGGCCCTAGGCCAGTGTTTTAACCTATTTTATGTCATAGATCCCCATGGCAGTGTGGTGAAGACAACAAACAAAACCCCTTCTAAGATCAATGTTTTTAAATTGTTAAAGGGAATGCTAAATTTCAGTTAAAGATTAATGAAATGAAAAATAAAATTTTTCCCCCATCTAAGTTTACAAACCCCCTCTCCCCCACCTTGAAATCTATCTATGGACCCAGGGGTGTGCTGGAGTTAGCTTTTATGGGCTTGTTAAGAGCCAGATTAAACTTATTTACCAGCATGCTCCTTGATGAGGAAGGGGTTGTCTGTGGATCCCTGGTTAAAAAACCCCTGTCCTAGAGTCAGTACAGTATCTTTTTATATTTGCTGTATTTATTTTTCAATTAAAAATCAGATAGTGATACTGATTTCATGAAAGAACATTTGGCATCATAAAGTAAAGCTTAACTGAATTTACCAATTATTACTTTCAGCCAGTTTCCTTAGATATGTAAATATTTTCATTGAAATAAATTTAATCCAATTTAATTCAGAAGCTATTCATGTTTTAAAGAGGATTCAGTTGCTTTCTAATGAAAATTCTTGGACATTAGATGATGTCATGTTCTAATTTTACCTGTCTAGTATGGCAAAAATCACATTTAGGAATATGAAAACTAAAATAAAGCATTTTAAAACTCTAACTATACCTGAGCTTCTTCTTGTTGCTTCTTAAGTTGTTCCAGCATTTGCTGAAACTCAGCCTCTTTTTGCTCTGCCTCTTCCAAAGTGGCCTGATTCTGCTCCTCATAGGCCATGGCAACCACCGCCAGGATCAAGTTCACCAAATAGAATGAGCCCAAGAATATTACCAGAACAAAAAATATCATGTATGTTTTTCCTGCAGCACGTAGTGTCTAGAGGAGGAAAAATAAAACAGTGTCTTAATGTCATGATACAAGGTAGGAGACTGCTTTTTGCTTTTCATACATTAGGAGATCAGCAGCCAATTTATTCATAAGACTTTATTCTAGAACAAATGAGGCTATTGGGCTTAGTCTAATAAAAAGAAATGGATGATGATAATTGTAATCTTTCTTTAACTTAAATTCCACTTCCTTATTATAAAGAGGTGATGGACTTAAAAAGGCGGAATGAGACATATATTTTTGGACATAGACAACATTGAAATTAGTTTTGCTTGATTATTTGTTACATGGATTTTTTATTTTTATTTTTAATCAGGGAGAAGAAAGGAGAGAAAATAATTGCATATTAATTGAAAAATAATATAAAAATGGGGGAAGGTGGATTCAAAAGATCAACTTACCAGTTTGAGATAGGGGAGATATGGCTGAATAGCAATTAATATTTTTTAAAAGGATCTGGGGATTTTAGTGGCCTAAAAGCTCAATATGAGTCAATATCATGATTTGGCTCTCAAAAAACTTAATATGATCTTAGATGAAATAATGAAAGGCATAATATCCAAAATGGATGTCAATAGCCCCATTGAACTCTGACCTGGCCAAACTATATCTGAAATATTATATTCAGTTTTTGCCATGACAGTTTAGGGATGTTTACTGATAAGCTGTTCTTTGGAGAGATTCCAAAGGAAGGCAACCAGGAAGGTGAAGGACTTTGAGAAGATGCCATATGAAGATCAGTTGACTGACTGGAGTACAAATATTTAATTGACGAAGAATACAATAGCTATTTTCAAGTATTTGAAGGATTGTCCTATGAAAGAAGGATTAGCCTTTTGCTCAGTCCTAGAGGGTAGGAATAGGAGCAGCAGGTAGAAGTTTCAAAGAGACAAATTTGGGCTTGACATTGGTAAAAACTTAGTAATAGCTAGAGTTGCCCAAAAGTTGAATGGGCTACCTGGGTCAATAGGAGGTTTCTCCTCCTTGGAGGTCTTCAGACAGTGGTTAAATGACAGCTTGTCAGTGCAGAGAAGAGGAGATTCATGTTTCTGTCAGTAAAAATACTTGGTCCCAGAGGTCCTTTTCAAGGAACTCTGAGATTCTGTGATTTTATATATAACACTTTATCATTTTGACTAAAACTTGTTTGTGCATTAAAGACAATTTATTCCAAAAGTTCACTCCTATAAAACTTTTTGTGTCTAAAGATATTTACCACCTTTGGGATAATAATATCTCACCTTTTTATAATGAGATTCTTCTGGAGAAGATAGTACTGTCTCTCCATTCTCTGAACTCTGTACTCACTTGCTATACCATTCATTTGGCATTTTCTTTGGTAGAGAATTGTAATTTCATTGTTGTGGGAAGCTGCCCCATATGAATTTGCCAGTATGGAAACACCCTGACATGATAAAGATTTACAACTCTCTGATTGTTTTAGGAGTTGGCTGAGGCAAGTAAGAGGTCAAGAGACTTGCCAGCAGTCATACAGCCAGTATGTGTCAGAAGCAAGACTCAAATCCAGGTCTTCCTGACTCCAGGCCAACACTCTATCCACTATGCTGCACCACCCTATATTTTTTAGTTATCCTATCATGCTTTTCCACCTAACTCTAATGTAAATCTCCTTGAAGTCAAGAAATTGTGTCATTGTAATCATCATCATCATAATATCTAGCATTTGTATAGCATTTTAAAGTTTGCAAAGAGCTTTGCTCATTTAACAATTTTAATATCACTTAATAATAAGATAATGAAAGTCTTAAAAGTCCTTTGTATCCCCTACGTTGCCTAGCAAACCTCATGCATAAGAGGTGCTCAGTGGTATTTGCTGATTAATGAAGATACAAGACAGAATCACCTTATACCAAATTCTACTCTATGGCAAATAGTGTTGCATGAAAGTTTCAGTTGCATATCATCTTTTATGTGATCATAAAATTTTAAAAATCTATTATTCAAGCCTCACCAGCTGATAAAGGTTTTCCCAGTAATCTTGAGTCATTAGTCGGAACAAAGACAAGAAGGCCCAACTGAAGGTATCAAAACTAGTATAGCCATAATTGGGATTAATACCAGCTTTCACACATATATATCCTTCTGGACAGTGACTGCAAATGATAGAAAGAAATAGTATGACATGGTTAGTATGATAATCTCAATTGATTTGGGATTATGTAAGCATTCGATAATCTGAGTATCCTTTCATAGTGGATTTGCTCTCCTTTATTCTCATAAAAAATTTTCAACCATTGTTATAGTGAAATGTCTGTCACATGAATTTTCCTTGGCAAAAGTTATTATAAAACTTAGCTTCTGTACAAAGATGGAAGCATGGAGAAACTAATCCACTTTTTTCTTTTATGGTCAACATGACCTCATAAAAAGCACACTGATGCTACTTTCAAATAAGTCAGAATGGATGATAAATAATCAAAGCTTTAAGAATAACCCATTATTACTCATGTGTTGATATATTAGTTACTTCGATAGGACTCCAGCTTGAGAACTCTCCTAAATAATTAAAACTGTCCAAAAGTGGAATGAGCTGCCTTCAGAGGGAACAGATTCCAACATCACTACAACTGTTCAAGCAAAGAGATACAAGGCTAGCTCTACATATGGAAAGGAAAGGTATTTTGTAAGGAAACTTTTATTCAGGTATGAAATGTATTAGTTGGCTTCTAGATGGCCACTGCTGTGATGCTGAAGTTTAACAATAAAATTGTTTTCAATTTATTGAGTGTTTTGGTTTTTTTAATCTAGTAGCTGAGTCATGTCACCTCTCTGCTCCCTGGAAAGTTGTTTGAGCTATAACATGAAGGGCTCTTCATTTCATGAATAGATGGCTTCTGAGGTTCCTTCCAGCTCTAGCTCCATAACCTTTACCCTGCTGTTATTACACAAGGAAGTAAGCTGGTCCAAATCCTACTACTGTGGTATTTTGGTTGTGGTTTCTAGCTCAAATCATCTTTTCTGCTGAAGACATTTCCTAATTTTCAGTTCAATTCAGTAAGCATTTATTAAGTACTTACTATGTGACTAGCACTGTGCTAAGTGTTGGGGGTACAAAAAGAAGCAAAAGACAGTCCATGCCCTCAAGGAACTTACATTTTTAATGGGGGAGACAACATGCAAAAATATATACATATATATACATATATATATATATATATATATATATATATATATATATATATATATATATATATTATATACACACACACACAAAGCAAGCTATATACAGCATAAACAGGAAGTGATTAAAAGAGATAAAGCACTGGAATTAAGCGGGGGTTAGGGAAAGCTTCTTGTAGAAGGTAGGATTTTAGTAGGGACTTAAAGGAATCCAGGGAGGTCAGAATGGGAGTGGAGGAAAGAGAGTATTCCAGGCATGGGGGATAGCCAGAAAGAAGGCCAGGAGATGGAGTGTCTTGTTGTGGAACAGCCAGGAGGCCAGTGTCACTGGATCAAAAAGTATATTTTGGAGAGTAAGGAGACTGAAAAGATAGGAAGGCGCTAGGTGATGAAGGCCTTTGACAACTGCCAGCTTCCACCAACATCTCTACCACATATGAACACACACAGATCTCCCTAAAACCTGATATCCTATCCTTATTCTCTGCTTTCCAAGTTAGAAAGTAATGAATCCCAAGATGTACTAATATAAGGTTTTAATGTATTAATGAAAGAAGGAGAGACTCCCATTCCACAGATGCAGTTTATTGTAATCTTCTGGAGACACTGGTTTAACCCGAAAGAGTGACTTTTTGGTGTTAATTTTAGGGACTCTGACAAAAAAAGAAAATATTTGGAGTCCCATTTGCAATTCTATTCTTTCTATGTGTAGAGCTAGCCTTGTAATTATTTGTCTCTTCTGGTTTCTATTATATAATAAAATCTTACCCTGCATCTGAGCTATTTCCACAAAGTAAAGCATCACTTTGTCCATCCAAATAATAAAAATGACCTGTTAATGAAAAGAATAAAAATATTTTAGAGATTAATTCATATTAAGTTTCATGCTATCTCATAACAATATGCATTTATACTTATTCCATTGTTCTGAAATACTCCTTACTTTCCATAAGAATAGGCACTGAATTTCTCAACAGTTATTGGCATCAGATTTTTTTTAGAACACCCTCATTTCTTCATCTATTGACATTTGTAAAAATTTTGGCAAAAAATAATATATAGCAGCACTTCTTACTTTTATCTTCAATGTATTCCTTCCAGTTAAATGTGCTCATTGTTGTATTACCAGATGTCCCATTTATATCTATTGTACTATTAAAGTAGGAAGTAATGTTTGTTTCAAAAGTAGAATTGCCTGGGGGCCATTGCAAACATTTATTCCTCAGGTTGCCCATGAACAGCTGCAGCCCAATGAGAGCAAATACACTCAGACAAAAGACAGTCAGGATCATGACATCAGAAAGCTTCTTCACTGACTGAATCAGAGCCCCCACAATAGTCTTTAAACCTGCAAAGAGAGGATGATAGAACAACGTATTAATACTGTCATAAATCACAATTTCTTATTAATCATGCATGAACATCCCTTCCCTTTCATTCCCCAAATGATTGTTTGGCTTATGAGATAATAAAGCCCAGCAAACAACCTATGGGTTTGGGAAATGAATGAAGAACAAATTTCTATCTTATAGGTAGTGTACTTTCTGGCTCCTCACTATGACTTTTTATTTTAAAACAGGAAATTTTGTTTATTATTGGTTATATGCCCACAGGACCATATAAAGAAAATCTTTCTGTTCTTTCTTTATATTTCAGCTCTTCTTTTTTATTATGTTTTCTTTTCCTTAACCATTGTCATATATTATTATTTTTTTTTAACCTGGTTTAGAGGGGGAAAAAAACAAATTAACATTTAAAAAATCCAATGTTATGTTGAAGCTATTTTTTTAAAAAAAATTATCTCTTCTACTTTTAAGATAACTTTAAAAAAACAGATTTCTATTTTCAATCCTAAACATTTTCAATAAATGATAAAATTAAAAAAAAATAATTAAGCTGTACAGCATTGAAGCTTTTTCTAAATGTTTTAAGAAAAAGCTTCATACCTTGAATGAAAAGTGGTTTAAAAATAGCTGTCTCATGCAATACTTCGTTAAACTCAGGAGCTGACTTTATATAAAATATAAAAATGTAAGGATTCGTTATAATTAAAACTCTGCATTGCATTTACTGCATATTGTTAATATAATTTTTTAAAAAGGCTTATTGGGGCTACAAAAATGTGCATACCCTTTGATCCAGCAATAGCACTTCTAGGGCTATATCCTAAAGAGATTAAACAAATGGGAAAAGGACCCACATGTACAAAAATATACATAGCCTCTCTTTTTGTGGTGGCAAAGAATTGGAAATTGAGAGGATGCCCAACAACTGGGGAATGGCTGAGCAAGTTGTGGTATATGAATGTAATGGAATACTATTGTGCTATAAGAAATGATGAACAGACTGACTTCAGAAAAACCTGAAAAGACTTATATGGTCTGATGCTGAGTGAAGTGAGCAGAACCAAGAGGACTTTGTACACAATAGCAGCCACGTTATGCAATGCCTAAGAATGTTAAACTGAACCCTTCTCAGCATTATGAGGATCTAAGACATCTCCAGAGGCCTTGGGATGGAAAATGCTGTCCACATCCAAAGAAAGAACTATGGAAGTCAAATCGCTCTCACTTATTTTTACCTTCTGTTGAGTTTTGTTTCACCTTTATCATGGTTCCTCCTATTGGTTTTAATTTTTACTTCCAACTTCACTAATGTGAAAATATGTTTAATGGGTATGTAAATGTAAAGCCTATGTCAGATTGTGTACCGTCTTGGGGAGGGTTGGGGGGAGAAAAGGGAGAAAAAATTTTCAACTCAAAAGCATATGGAAAAAAAATTTAAAAAAATAAAAATTAAAAAAAAAAATAAAAAAGGCTTATTGCTGTAAAGTTGTGCTTTCAACTTGGATATATTTAAAATCAGCCTCAGTGTTTAACCTTGCTCTCACATGGAATAACCGAAATAGTTTTCAATGCTCAGAGAACTCTGAATGTCCTCAATGCTGAGACATTGCCCAGGTCCACAAACTCTGTTACATATCTGTATAAGGGAGTTCACACACACAAACACAATAACACGCAAGAAATAATTGGATATATAAGGGACCTAATCCCTTACACCAGTTAACTTCTTACCTGGGATTACAGAAATAGTTTTCAGAGCTCTCAATACTCTGAAAGTTCGAAGAGCTGAAACATTGCCTAGGTTTACAAATTCTGTTACGTACCTGTAGAATTAAATCAGAGTTATTGAGGGTTTTTGCAGAGTTTATGCTAAGTAATTCTGCATTTGGTTCATAGACCACATTGCCAAAGGAGTCTAATGAAATTGCTAGTGTTTGAAGTTACCTTTCATTTTGACCTATACTTAAAGAATATAATTTAGAAGCTCTTAGTTATTTAAATGGCAACAAAGTGAACTAAGCTAGTGTACCAAACTTATTTCCCTAAATTTAGCTGGTGGCACTGGGACAGGGTGAAGTCAACAAATAACTTTAACAATGTTGAGTAAAAAGAATTTAGGATATTAGTTAATGCCCCTTGCTTACAGTTACTCTTGGAACTGATACATAATGCCAACTTCAATAGCAGATTTTGTTTTGAAATACAGAATGTGTTCCAAAAATGCATGCAACAGATAGTCACATCAACTAAAAAGAAATCCCTATAATGATAAAGCCATATTTGGTATCTTTTATGCAGAAATTAATTTCATGCCTTTGTTTACGTGAGCATTTCATACACTTACGCCATCAAAATGACACTGAAATCCAGCCAGTTCCATGGATCACGAAGAAAAGTAAAGCCTTCTAAGCAGAAACCTCTTGCCAAAATTTTTATAAGTGATTCGAAGGTATAAATTCCTGTAAAAGTGTACCTAGGAGAAACATTGAAGAAAAATTTGATACTGTATAATGGTTTTTCAACATAAGATCTTTTAAAAAAGCCAAAATCACACTAATACTTTTCATTAGAGAATGAAAATATAGGTCTCTTTTTGGCTCTATTCAAGGGAATTTAGTTACTGACACCATAAACATTGTTGTATAAGGAGTTTCCCTGAGCATTAGAGGACACAAATCAAGATTGTGTTAAGCAGGTTGTTGCTGCTGGTGTTATTGTTTTAAGTTCCCAAAGAATTTTATAAGGACTTGATAACATGAATTTTGGACATTTATTATTACATAGATTTTTCCAAATTAGGAGACAGAATTTTAAATGCAAGGTTGAATTTGAAAAGATGTACTGCTTACCCATAATTTTATCTGTTCATTCTGCTGTACCTCCAAACATGTTTCTATTCAGTCAGCTGTTGTAAACTGATCAATTGACTTTCTGGCGTGCCATCTTTCTCTTATGAAAGATCTTTTGAACCTACACCTTAAGCTCTGAGAGGGAGGGAACAAATCTAGACTTGAATATAAGAACCCAAAAAACAATTACAGGGCTCTACTCTTTCTTTTGGGTCCTTTAGGTTACAGTCAGGAAGTTATCAGTTATTCTCCCCCAAATCTCTAAAGAGTTTTTATGCCTGAATTGAGAGAAGAGAGCCAGGGCAGTCACAGCAACCTATGACCTTTAATTACACAGCCCCTATGAAGTGTGAATAGTCACAAATAATGAGAAATGAAAATAATTCTTGCCCAGATGGGAGCCACCCCTGGCATATTTGAAGAAAGGGTTACATGTCATAGCTATTTTGCTGATTTCTAGTCTGTTCCAAATATACCATCAGCAATGACTCTTTTTCAGGAAAAATTCTATAAAGGATTATTAAAGTTGATTTGTGAGTATTTAGAAAAGAATGTGAAAATCCACAGGCATCAACAAAGGGTCACTAAAAATGTCATGACAAAGTGACAATTTCCTTTTTAAAGTATGCTTACTAGGTTAATAGATCAGAGAAATGCCGTGCACATAATATATCCTGATTTCATGAAAGCATCTGACAAAGTCTCTAATGATATCCTTGTGGATAAAATAATGAAATGTGGGCCAGATGATAGTAATGTTGACCTTTGCAGATAGTTGAACAACCTCATCCAAAAAAGAGTTGACTGATAGGTTGACATCCATCTAAAGAAATGTCTCTTAATGGAGCATCCCAGGGCTCCCTCTGAACCTTAGCCCTATCTTGTTCAGTATTTTTGGATGAAGACATGAAAGGCATGTTTATCATACCTGCAAATAATATAAATCTTGGGGGGACAATGCCTGACAACACCTAGAAGCGATCTTTGCATGGTAGAAATCAACAAATATCTGAGGAGTGATTAATTTCTTTATGGTAGATGACAAGATCAGGAGTCAAAACTACCTTGACATGTTAGAACAATAGACTAAAATCAACAAGATGAAATTTAACAAGAATAAATATTAAATCTGTCACTGACTGAAATATTTTTTGTTGTATGAGTACAGTATGGAAAATTCTGAAGTTCAAGAAAAAAAGATATAGGAATTTTACTTGATCATAAGGTCCATATTACCATATAGTGCTAAAAAAAGCTAATTAAATTTTGTTGCATTAATAGAATTGACTTTTCATGACCCCGTTTGTGGTTTTCTTGGCAAAGATACTGGAGTGATTTACCGTTTCCTTCTCCAGCTCATTTTACAGATGAAGAAACTGAGGCAAACAGGGTTAAATGACTTGCCTAGGGTGACATAACTTGTTAAATGTCTAAGGCCAGATATGAACTCAGGAAGATGAGTCTTCCCGACTCCAGGCCAGGCACTTTATCCGTTGTGCCACCTAGCTGCCCTAATAGAATAGTATGGTAATAGAGAATAGTAATTTCACTTTATTCTGTAAAGCTTTGGCTACACCTGGAATACTGTTTTCAGTTTTGGAGCTCATATTTCAAAAGGAACAATTACAAACTAGAGTGCCTTATGAGAAAGGAAACCTAACCTAGATTGTAAAGGAACTTGCAATCCATTGTCACATAGGGCCCGCTGGTAGAACTGAAGGTGTTTAGTAGATAGGGCACTGAACCTGGAATCAGGAAGACCTGAGTTCAGATCCAATCTCATAAACTTATTAGTTATGGAATCCTGGGCAAGTGACTTAACCATGATAAAACGTGTAAAACTTTGCAAACCTTAAAGTGCTATATAAATGCTAGCTATAATGATCATAATGTTTAGACTAGAATAGAGAAGACTAAGGATAAATATAATATCTTTTTAGATGTTTTTCACGAGGAAGAGATAGTAGGCTTGTTCTGTGCTCCTCCCAAGAGTAGAACTGAGATTTATCAGCATCAATTTAAAAAAAAATAGATTTGGCTCAATATACATAGGAGCTTTCTAATAATTAAAGCTATCCAACAGAGCTATGAGTTACCTGGTGAAGTCTATGAGTTTACTGTCATTGGATTTATTCAAGTAGAGGTTAGATGATAAGCTGTCAAGTTATAGACAGAGGGGTTACAGAATTCATTGCTACACTAGATTAAAGACTGAGCAAGATCAACACTATTGTTCTATCCAACTCTTAAAGTCCTATGATTCATTCTTTTAAAAAAATATTTTATTATTTATAGTTATATAGTTATCAAAGCCAATCAAAAGTCTCTTGCCCCTTATTTCTATAGCAAAATTGTTTTTACCTTTTTAAAAACAAATCCCTTCATCCCTCCAACAATTTTGCACGAGTATAAACTTAAGTCAAGGTGACTTATTTTTAGATAGCTTCAATATAGGATAGTCCCTAGAGAAATTGACTCTCAATGACTTTAATTAGAAGGGTTTTTGTTTTTTTAAAGATATCATCTTAATTTAATATATAGCAAAAATAAAAGAGATTGATTCTCTAATACTAATTTTTCCTGTGAGAGAAATTCCTTAAGAATTTCTTGAACTTTATGCTTTTTTGTCAGGTACATTTTATATGTCTTTCCATGCTTAGGGGGGAAAAGTCCACTTTCTTTGATCATTAAGAGTCAGGGCATTAATTAAGACTTTATAGCTGCTTCTCAATCAAGTAAAAGAAAGATGATGTTTTGGGCCTTACAAATAGAGTAAAACACATGTTTTTCAGAGTGGAAATATATTGACTAAAATTGTGCTGGATTTTTGATTAATGCTTTAAGAAAAGTTAGGAATAATTAAAGAAAACTCCAATTGTCATAGCACAAGTATCAATCTAAGAATGACTTCAGTTTCTGCTTTCTCTTTCTCACCTTTAGCTTTTCAAGGCATTTTTTTTGTTCTTTTATCTCATGTCATTTCAAATATTCTCCTTCAATCCCTTCTTCCTTTAAACTCAATGTACATAAGCAATACTCAAAAGTACAGTCACTGTTATTAGCCAGTTATTAAGTGCTTGTGAATGTCTGAAATTGCACAGTTTCTGATGACTGCTTTGTCATTTTGAGATAAGCTTATGATGGAACCTAACTATTTGAGGTCAGCTGCTACTTTGTGGAGCCACTTGCTTAACTTTTCTGTGACTCATTTTCTTTGCCTATAAAGTGGCTTGATATTCTCCCACTGTTGCTTGATTTTAGCATCTAATTGTCCTTTATGCACTGTCTACATTTTTCTTTTGCTTTTCTTCTCATGGAGGTATTTGAGAAAGCCAGTCTGTGATGTCGACAAATATTTATTAAGTGCTCACTATTTGTTAAGCACTGTGCTAACCCCTGAGAATACAAAGAAAAACAAAAACAGTCCCTTCCCTCACTTCTAAAGGGACAGACAATATGTAAATAAGATCTGTACACAGTAGATGAGAGGTTATCTGAGTCAAGGTAGTAGCTGCTGGAATTTGGGGGTGGGATAAGGCCTCTTGTAGAAGATGCTATGTGAGCTAAATCTTGAAGGAAGCCAGGGGAACTAAGAGCCAGTGGTGAAGGGCCAGTATGTCCATCATGTGAATGACAGCCAGTGCAAAAGCACAAGGTAGAAAGAAAAGAACATGGAGTGTTGCATTGGAGAAACAGCAAGTATGCTAAACTTCCTGTTGTTAAGTATGATATTGTTTAAAAACAAAACAAATAAACAGATAGAAAAACAACCATATTTCTCTTCCCCAGTCTATCCAAGTCCCCAAATCACAATGGTTTGATTTCCTAAAAACTGAATGTGTTTTTTCATTGGTATAGTGAACTCTTAGGAAGTTATATTCCCCTACCAATAGTTTGATTTATCACTTTTAAATATATACCACCTTTGCTTATGTTTCTACTTGACATGTGGAGAAACTATGGTAGTTAAGATAGTATTCTCAAAAATATTTCCTGTCTACGTTTTTCACTCTTACAAGAGCTCAGAAAAATGTGTGAAGGAATTGAGAAATCATTCCAACTGTTTAAACTGTTCTATTTTTTTCCATGCGAATAGGAGATATATACATGAATATATTTCTTCTTCTCAATAGACCATCATTTTCATGGAGAATATTTCTAACAGCTGTAATTTTATGCAATTCAAGAGGAAGGCTCTAGATAGGCTAAGATTGATCTTTATTTTATAAAGTATATTTCCTTTCTGACTTTGCTGAGTGAGTTGTTATTTCTGTGATCTGCTATTAAAGATATCTGTAGCTACCATGACATTCTGGAAGGAGGTGGTACTTAGTCTACCAAATCTTCCCTGATTTCTTCCCTCCCCCCTACCCTTTCCAATTGCTATTGTTTTTCTAACCTCAATTTATTTTGGATCCTGATTGGTGCGATTAAGAATTCCCTCCCTGAAATGGTAGCATTATTTAAATTTCCATTACATATTTCAGTTGGGCTACAATACATTACCATATTTTACATAATTATAACTTTGAATACTGCAAATTTAAATAAGTGATACCACTTCAAGGGATCATTATTTTCATTAATTGAGACCTAGCTACATTACACTTATTTGTAATGTAAGTTAGATATAGATTTGTCCCTATTAGAATGTAAGTAACTTGAAGAAGAATCAGTTTTGGTTTTGTGTCAATTGCCTGGTACTGTGTTTTGTACATAACAAATGTTTAATAATTGTTCAATGAATGGAATTGAATAAACTGAGACTAAACCTTTAAGCTGTGCTTGTTAAGGATCAATATGATATTAAGGTTCCTGCATCATTCCTACATGATTGAATCTATGAATGAAGATGCCATACTTTTCCTGGTACTTGGTAAATAGATGATTAAGGACATCTCTGGGGCAGTCCCAGGGGCACACTATGAGTTTCTTGTGAACAAACCCAATAACACAAACTTCCTGATATGACTTGATACAGTTCGACACATACAGAGCAAGTACTCAAACAGTGCTTGTTAAAGTAATGGAAGTGAACGTTTAGGTGGGAAGCAAAATACTCATGCTTTTTTTGTTCAAACCCTAACAATATGATCCAAAACACATCGCTTAGACTTCCTGTGCTACCTACATTTTCTTAAGAACTGAAATGGGGACAAAAATGTTTTATATAAGCTGATTTTAAAAAAAAATTTAATCATTTTATAATTCACTTGCGTAATTGATGGGGATGGGATCTGGAAGGAAAAGACCATGTCTTTGGGATCTGGACCCCAAAAAGGAAAAACCTGGCCAAATCTCTGCCCTTCACCTGAGGCTACAATCCTATCAACAGCCACAACTTTCATTGTGGCTGAGCCCAATCTCTCAATTCTATTCTGTTACTTCCCAATTGCACTTGGTCACTTCCCACCCTTAATCCTTGCTCAGGTACTCCTGACTTCCCGGCGGTGCTCTGTCCACTGTGCCACCTAGCTGTCCCCAGATCACCTGTCTTCTTTACTGATAAAACTTCAACAAGCAGATGCCATTAACACTTGACTTTGACATCGTTTCTGTCCCTAAACCCTCTCTTATTAAGTAGTTAGAGTGATCTGTAAACAACCACTTACTCTTACCTCAAGTAAACTTGCAGGATTTCAATGGCTTCCCATTCAATATCAAATCAAGTCACACTGTAAAATCATAGGACCATAGATTTAGAGCTAGAAAGAGCCTAGGAGCTCATTTAGTCCAACCTCCTCATTTTACAGATAGGGAAGGACAGAAAAGTCCAAGGTCACACAGAAAGTAAATAGCAAGGGTGAAATTTGAATGGGTCTTTCCGAATTCATTTATCTTTCCATCAGACCATCCATTATTTAAAGTCATCTAAAATCTAGTTCTACCTTACCTTTTCAGCCTTATCTCTAATGCTCATATTCCTGTAGTCTATACTTTTAACCAAACTGGATTCCCTCATTTTCACCATCCCAGTCAACAAGGTATTTCTCAAGCAGTCTTCTACCTCTGGAGAGGTTTTCCTCTTATACTGTCTCCATTTCCATCTGTTTAGATCCTTCCCTTTTAATGTCTAATTTAGGCCCCACCTCTTTCATGAATACTTTCCTGATTTCCCCACTTGTTATTTCTAAATCCCCTCTTGTTCTTTGTTTTCACTTAGCCTATTTTGCTTTGTGTTATGCTTATTTGTGTATGTGAATTCTCCTTTATCAGATTATTTGAGGGCAAGGATAGTCTTGTTTTATTTTTGTTTTCCTTATTGCCTGGGACAGCAGCCTTACTCATAATAGGTGCTTCATCAATGTTTATTGAGTGACTGAAAGTTGTATCCTTTTAAGAAGCTAAGATCCTTTCTTAATGGGAAAAATGACCATAACTCATATTTTTATTTATTTTTATGAGTTTATATTGTGTTTTCTTAAAGCATGAGTCATCTCTAAGTAACTTCTCACTTCTCTTAGGGATGACAAAACAATAGATAAGAAAATGCTTTGAGTTTTTCAATGGAAAAATACCATATGCAGGATACACATTCTTTTTCCCATTATACCCTAAATGAAAGGGCTGGGGCATTGACTCAGTTAAAGTAGGGAATTGTTTAAAAAGAACTGCTACTCTGGCCATGGCTGTCTAGACTAATAAACAGAATTTGTGACTAGAAATGTATAGATCAAGACTCAGTAGTTTTTGTAGTTCCTGATATCCAGGAAAACACAAAAGAATGAGCTGTTGGGTACCTTTGGGTATTGGTGAGTTGACAGCACAGTTTCTTAAACTGATCTGGGTTTTTACATCTAGGTAAACTTGCCTCACCTTTGTGAAAACAAAGGTTAAATGTCTTGCAATGTTAAGGTCTTACCCTGTTGAAGAAACCAGACACCATTTTAGAAGCCTCATACTGCTTCAGGAATACTTAGCACAGTTATCTTTCTTTGAGTGGCTCTATTTTCTTTTCCACATCACATCAAATCATTTATTTTATGTCATTGCCTTCCGAACCCCGTGTTCAAGCTTACATGCTGCTTCTTATATCTCTTTACTTTATATCTGTACATAACTTTATCATCTCTTTTAAACTGACCCCTGTTTTCTTTCTGACACTGCTCTTACAATAGATACTGGGCTTTGCTGCTAAATGAACTTAAGGAGATGTGTTTGTTACTAATGAGAAGTTCTAGCTTAGGGTTGTTTCCTTGGAGATTAGACCAGCTGGCCTAATTCTTGCTTTATATTCTGGCAAGTACTACATATAAGATTTCTGACTTGACAACATATACATATACACAAATTACACAAATCAACAGCTCAGGTGATCTTGGAGTCTCCATCTAAAGGCATGAGGAACTGTGAATAAGACTCAAGAACACTTTTCTTTAAAATATCTAGGTAACATAGCTGATTGCTTGCTGTCTCAGGGAGCAGGGAGGAGAGATAAGAAGGGATAGAATTTGGAACTTAAAACTTAAAAAAAAACTGCAAATGGGGGCAGCTAGGTGGCTCAGTGGATAGAGCACTGGCCCTGGACTCAGGAGGACCCGAGTTCAAATATGACCTCAGACACATAACACTTACTAGCTGTGTGCTCCTGGGCAAGTCACTTAACCCCACTGCCTAGCCGGAAAAAAAAACCCCACAAATGTTAAAAGTTGTTTTTACATGTAATTGGGGAAAAGAAAATGTTTAAAAAATAAAATAGCTAGGTAGCACCATGGATAAAGTACTGGACCTGGAGTCAGGAAGACCTGAGTTCAAGTCCAGCTTTAGACACTTACTAACTGTGTGACCCTGGCCAAATTATTTAATCTCTGTCTGTCTCAATTTCCTTATCTGTAAAATGGGGGTAATAGTACCACTTACCTTCCAGGGATGTTGTGAGGATAAAAGTATGTAAAACCACTTTGCAAACCTTAAAACATTTTATAAATTCTAATTGTAATGATATAGTCAATGACTAATAAAACTCAGGAAAAACACCTTGAAAAAGAGGCATTGCAATATTTGGAAAGGCTTTTCTCTTTGCTTTTACACTCCCTTTAAAAATAAGACATTAACGGGAACCTCCATAAGGAAAAATACTTATCATCATTAAAATACATGAAGCTTTAGACCTTGTTTTACCTAAATTGATAAAGAACATACTTATTTCATTTACATTAATTTTTTAGCATACCAGATATTAATTCAGCACCAAAATTCAGTCAATGTCCTGAAAAAAAATCCCACCACCTCATATAAATGAAGCCCCACATGGTCTTACATATCAAAGAAACAGCCCTTTGCAGATAAGGAATTATGAGGAAGGATGTTCAACCTGCCCCAGAAAGTGGAACCATAAGTGAGGCCAGAGACAAAGAGATATATCTAAGAACATTTTTAAGTCAGTTTCATATTCCAAGAATCATTTCTACTTACTCTACATTCTTTGTCCAGTCTGGAGGGTTACTCATGGTCATAAATACACAGTTGGTCAGAATAGTGCACATAATGAGCATGCTGAATAAAGTAGATTATAGTTAAGGAATAAATAAGAGTAGCTTTAATAAAATAAGGGCAATAATAACTGTGTGGATGCTGACAAATTGCCTAGGTATAATACTAAAAAAAAATTTAACTGCCCAAAAAATTATATGCATTTCCTATTTTAATGTTAATCTCAAAAAATACTGCCCAGAACAAATTCTTGGAAGGTAATCTCATTTTTTTTCTCAACAACATTGGATTATGTACACCCCTTTTAAAATTCAGTAGGAATTCTCCATTCAAGTAAACTATGCCAGATGGCTCTATCAGAGGACGAGACCCTTTTAGTGAGTATAAAATACTGTTTAAATATGTAAGTTGAACAGTGTGCATAATTTAATTCTTTATTTTTATACAAAGATTAATGATTGCAATATAGAAAGTTGAGAGTGTTCAGATAATATATTGATTTATTCTGTGCAACTAAGAATTAGATAATGAGTATGTCATAAATAAATGCTGTTGTAGCTCTTTACCAATGGAACTAGTTATTTTCCAGCTTAAAAAAAATAGGAGTATCAGAAGCCAGAACCAATAGCTGGTTACTTTTTATAGTACCTTGTATGTACAAAGGATTATTGTATCATTCTGCCGCCACCCCCCCCAAAAAAAAAAGATGGAAGAGTGGAAGTAGTGTTATGGGTTTGTTCTGGACATAAAAATGTGATGTTGGATAAATGACTTAAATTAGGCCTTAGTATTGATAAATGGACATATTGGACAAGATGAAATGTAGAGTCATATGAGGAAAAGATTCATCAGAAATCTGAAATTTTCTATTACTGTGGTCATTGGTGTTTTTTTTTTATTTCATTAGACGATGGGGTTAAGTGACTTACCCAGGGTCACACAACTAGTAAGTGTTATGTGTCTGAGGTCAGATTTGAACTCGGGTCCTCCTGACTCCAGGCCCAGTACTCTATCCATTGTGTCACCTAGCTGCCTGGATTGACACCTACCTACACTTCTTTAAATCCTTTCAGAGAAGACTTCGGTCTTGGAGTCTCTACAAGAAACATCCTTCTTAGGTTTAACCTAAATCCCTTATGCTGAAATTTAAATCATATCTGACCCTCCAGTCACAGCATAAGAGACTTCTAAAAATCATCAGATCCATCCCCACTGCCTCAGAGATGTTCTGTTCCTGTCTATTCTGAAGCCTCTTCATGTAAGTGTCTTTCTCTTAAAACTTCATGTTATAATGAAACTTTTTCAGTGTTACTCTTGAATACTATAGTTTATAACTGCACATTTTTTTCAAACTCACTCAACCCAATTCTGAAGTCTGTACACTAGATAGCAACTTATACATTTGTATAAATCATTTTTATTTTATGACCCTACACTCACAAAAGCATTTCTTGTTCTCTGGTTGCTTCAAGTTATTACATCTTGCCTTACCTCCAACTAAACTGTAAGATGTTCTCTGGAAAGGATGTTTGGCACCCCCCCCCCAAAAGCACCAAAGCATAGTTCAGAATCCTCAGTTGACAAATGCTGAATATTGAATGTTTTGAAAATAGTCATAGTAGCACTAAGGGCTATATCCATGACATTGCTTGAATTCATCAGTTCCCATGTATTTAATCGGTAAGTCTGGGCAGATGATATGTAAAGCTACGTATGCAACTTTAGTCTCCATACTGAGCTACAGACCCACATCAGCAACGGCTTTTTGGACACTTCAAACTGAATGTGCCATAGGCATCTCAAATGAAATATGTCCAAGGCAGAATTTATTTTCTTCCTCCTCTCTCAAACCATCTTATCTTCTAAAGTACCCTATTAGTACTAAGGGAATCGCTATCATCTCTGTCACCAGGCTCACAGCCCTGGAGTAATACTGTGCTCCTCATCCTCACTTATACCACAAACTGAATCAGTTGGTAAATCTTGTTTTTCCTTCATGACATCTTTCACTCTTCTTTCCAATTCTGGAGCTACCAGCGTTGTTCAGGCCTTACCACTCTTGCCTGGACCATTTCTTTGGCCTTCTGGTTGATCTCTCTACCCCAAGTCTCTCTCTACTCCAGTCCATTCTCCACTTGGCTGCCAAAGTGATTTTCCTAAAGTATATGTCTGACCATGCCACCTTCATTCTCCCCACAATTCAATGAGCTCCAGTGGGTCCCTGTTACCTTTAAGATGAAATATAAAATCCTCCATTTGGTTCTTCATAACCTGGCTCTTCCTACCTTTCCAGTACACTTATGCTTTACTGCCCTGTACTCAGTGATGTTGCTGCATTGGCCTGATTGTTGTTTCTCTTTTATAATATACCTGTCTCATCTCCTTGCCATTGTATGGGCTCTCCCCCAGGCCTGCAAAGCTCTTTTGCCTCTCCTCCACCGTTCAGTTTCTCTGATTTCCTTCACGACTGAACTCAAATTTCACCTTCTGCGGGAGGCCTAAACTGGTTCTCTTACCTGCCAGTGCCTTTCCCTCTGAGTCTATCTTCCCTCTACATATCTTGTATGTATCTAGTTGTTTACATGTTATTTCCTCAATTAGAACCCAAACCAAGGGCAGGAGCTGTTTCTGCCTTTCTTTGAATCCTCAGTACTTAATCCGGTGCCTGGCACATACCAAGTGCTGAATAAAAGCATGTTGATTAATTGACCTATTGTTTTGTTAATAATACTTCATTAAGGGTCTTATTGTAGGTAATAAAAGGTATAAACAGACTAGCATTGTTCTTATATGATCTGTTTCATTTATATAACCCAGTATCAACTAACTCTTGTATTTTAACCTCTAGATTTACTAAATTTAGAGATGGTCTGTTGTAAAAGAGAAACAACAAGGTCAGTGTAACAACATCACTGAGTGAGGGAAGGGTAGTAAATGACCTGTAGTCATTCAATAAGTATTTATTAATTACTTATTTATGTGCCAGGTATTGAGATTGATGCTGGAGATATAAAGACAAAAAAACAACGGTTCTTGCCTTCAAGGAGCTTATGTTCAGTAAGGGGAGACAATATGTAAATGAGAGGGTGTAAACTTGGCTTCAAACTTGTGCATAAGACTCTCCTCATTGATGACAAGAGTGATGACTTAATGCCGTATACTAGTGTGAGGGGCAAAGTTGGTGTAAGAGATAAAGAAAGGAGAGAATTCTAATTCTTTCCTATTTTTAGAGGGGGCACATACAGTTCCAGTCTCTCCTAAGAAAGAAACCCATGAATAGAGGGGGGAAAGCTATATCTTTATCATATTCCTAATGTCCAGATTGCCTCCTTAGAGACTTCTGGGAATTTCCCCATATGATCAAGGCTTTTCTCTCTTGATTGATCTAAGACATCCTGCTTCCAAAGAACAAGTTTGTCTCATACATTCTAATCTGCATAACCTCTTAGATTTCTGTTTGCTTTCTGCTTAAATAAATGGCTTTACTCTTTAGTCCCTCATTGTGATAGTCTATGTGTAACTAGCATTTAGTGCTAATGGGTCAAGCCTACAAGTTTATTATAAGCCTTCCTCTTTAAGGGATAGTGACCAGTAAAGCAGCTTGAATCTGTTAGCAGTATTTAGAATGATAGATAGATTTGGTTCTAATCCTTAGAAGAACAGACCATTCAGCTTTATAATCCCTTCTACTGCTCTTTTCCTGAAAGGGAGCAAAGTCTCCCTTGGAGACAGGTCGGAAAAATTACAAGGATATCTATGAAACTTCCCCATGAACCACATTTAGATAAACTCATATGGATATCACATAACTTGGATGGGATATACACTGCCTACATAAATCTATGCACATACACACATATAGGTACATGTGTGTATATGTGTATATGTATACATACTTATACATACATATGTTTACATGTGTATATGTCTTTCTCTCTCTCCCTCCCTCCCTCCCTCCATCCATCCATCCTGTGCAAGGGCACAGAGTCAGAAGATGAAGGTTAAATATGGGGAATTCTAACAAGGCCAGTTTGGTTGACCCAAAGAGTGAGTCAAGGGAAGTAATATATAATAGGTATGGAAAGATAAGGTGGAGTTAGTTTCTGAAGGTCTTTAAATGCCAAATGTAAAAGTTTATATTTGACCCTAGAGGTAATGGGGGCCATTGGCTTTTATTGAACATTAGGCTCACATTGTCATATCCATGCTTAAAAAACAAAATCACTTTGGCAGTTGCCTAGAAGATGAATTGGAGGAGCAGCCTTGGGGTAGGGAGACCAAGTAGGACCTAATTACAGGTGATCCTACCTAACTAGGATTATAGCCTAATGGATAAAGAGAAGGAAATGGATGCTAGAGATGTTGTGGAGGTAGATGAGATAAGACTTGGCAACTTATTGGATGTGTGGGTTGAGAGAAAATGAATAATAACACTATTTACTTGGGTACCTGGAAAAATGATTCAATAATAGTCTCAGCAGTCAACATCTCTATGTATCAACAGCAGAAAAACAAAGAGTTCAAGTACAAATTAAACCAACAAATTACCATTGACTTAAAGGGCACTCTCTATATATTTAATGTAGAAATGTGATTTTTGTTTTTAAAAAACAGATTTTTAGAAATAAAAATTCAAAACAACCATTCTGAAAGGATATGAATGTACCAAAATCTTAATAGCAATTTTTCTTACAGGGTTGAGAGGAGTTAAAATATACAAGGCAGATGTGGCACTGAATCGAAAGATTGCCTTTCCTTTATTCAATACTATGAACGTCTGAAAAATAAAAAGAAGAAAATGCAATCATTATAATAACAAACAGTTGAAGACAGATATGCATAGGAAAAAATTATGTAGTCAATTTATGTTAGCCAATTTACATTTTCATAGTGTAAAAGTTTATTTACAAATAATGACTTGACAATCTAATAGATCATGTCTTAGATTATATCAATATCTCTTCCTTTCCCTCAACTCATGACCAATTCACACTCTTTTTCTGTCATATACTTCCCTGATGGCATCTTTTACTGTTGTTCTTCTTTGAAGTTCCTAAATTGTTATGTAATATTCTACTCAAACCCTCCAGGTACCTCTCCATTGCTTTAGGTGTGATATTCATTTTCCTAGTAGCTTCTTATAATATCCTTAACAATATCTTCCATCAAGAACAGACCAGCAGGATGTCTGCTACTACCTGACCCTCATCTCCCTGAAAAACTGGTTCAAAACTCATCTGCAAGTAATCTAATGCAATCAAACAGACATTAATTTAGCATCTACTATGTGCAAGGGACTATGGTGAATGCTATCAATACAAAGGTTCTGCCTCCAGGAAACCTTCCCAGATTAAACCAATCAATACATGTGTCTCTTCAGCATTGGAGCATCAGTTTGTAGTAAATGATTTTTCAACTTGTTGATATGGAGCTTTGTAGTTTTTCTTAAATCATTTCAAATTTATATTTTTGTCTACCTAAATTATATGTGTAGTATACACATACACACACATATAATTTTTCTCAAATAATTTCAAATATATGTTTTTGTCTACCTTAATTATAAGGTCCTCCAGGGCAGAGATTTTGAAATTCTGTTTCCTATTCACCCACAGTATTTAATGCAATTCTCTGAACTCAGTATAAATATATATGTTAATGAATATCTATGTATTTATATACACACAGTCATACACACATATACATTCAATTGCAGTTTTTCTTCAAGATTTCATTATTTCATATCTATTTTGATCTAATAGATTAAAATCTGCTTAGATTCATATCCATCTGCTTAAATCTTTAGGATGAGTTAAGAATATATTTCTACCTTTTAACTAAAAATTCTTAGTGTTATGTTCCATATATTCATTCTCTATGGCAACAAGCACTATTAAAATAGAAATATTTACATTGCAAATCCAATGGGCTGATGAAACAGTTTCTCTGTTAATTGTTCTTTAGTATTTAAAGACCATACTTTTTGGCAAAGTGCCTAATAAATTGTTCTCTATGAATTTCATGTAGCAAATTTGAACAATTATGTAACAAGGGTAAATAAACTATTCCCCAATAGTGAAGAGATTATCCAGGAGGCATTTATTAACTTTATTAAGGTAGCAGAGAACTCTAAAGAATACTATAATTGAGAATCGGCTAAATGATTTCCCGAAATCCATAATACTAACAATTTAGTATTAACAGTCAAATATCTAAATCAGTTTTTCTGGATTTTAATTAGAACATTTGAATATAAAATTCACTGTTAATCAAGTTGAGTTTAGAGTAAAGATATAAATGGCTATTGATAACTATTTGAATCTATTAATTAGTTGCCATTCACCACATCAGGAAGGGATTTAGACAATGAAACCCAGTACCCTTCCTACCTACCCTGCCCCCCCCAAAAAAAGAAAGAAAAAGATAAAGAAGAATAAATTGTGAAACACTCTCCCCCTTTATGGTCACTATTCTTGTTCTTTTTCCAATATCTGCTGAGTCACCAGTGGAATTGAATTTGATGGGCCAATGACACTTTTACTGGATTTTATAAGCTCCTTCTGTTGACCAAACTTTATGAACCCAAGACTTTAACAAACCAAACAACTCCTGGGTCTATGAAAGAAAATAGAATTTTGTTACATTTTAAAAAAGAATTCCAGATAATTCCCAGATAGATTTTTGGGCTTTATCCTCCCTAAGTAGTTCACAATATTAAGCATTTTCAGGGGACAAGGAAGGGAGAAGGTAGAGAGAATGACTTCTTAAGTTCTAATGAAAACTGGAGGACATCCCTTATTACTGGGAGATAGTGAAAAGAATGAGAGATTGGTGTGGTACATAAGAATGGTATCAGTAAGATCTAGGTTTACATCTTTCCTCTGACACATGCTGGCTATGTGAACATGGTCAAGTCATATGATTTCTCAGTGCTCCCAGCAACTCTCTTCTGCACTATCCCTTCCTCCTCCCAATGCAAGGAATATCAATTTTCCAGTTCTGAAGAAATAGAATGAAAATGTTGGAAAACTATATTAACACGTTTCCCTCCCCCCACCCCCCACATGAAGCTAAATTGAAAGTTTCTAAGGGGAAATGGCAGTTTAATGTCTGGGGAAAAAGTCAGTCATAATTTCCAAGGCTATTTCCTGATGACTTTTCTTGGGGGACAATGATGGAATTGAGTAAAAGGAGTGACCTCAGAGCCCTCTTTGAATGTAAGCTTTAGAAGGATTTTTTTTTCCAGTCAGCACTCTAATCAGATGGCCAGAGTGAACTAAGGTAGTGATGAGTTGTATCAGTGATTGGAGTGGCCTGGGCTAAACTGGTTTGAAACCAGATTGAACCAATTTAGACTGGTTTTAGACCAGATTGGACCAGTTTGGACCAACTTCTTTTCTACACACTGTCATTCCAGTATGCCAACACTCCAATCATAAGGCTAAAACATACTGAATGATGAGGTGTGAGTACCAACACTGGTATATATTTATAATCTATATCTATATGTATATCTATACATTTATTTATATGTGTGACTTTTACAACTTTTAGTCATTTTAATCTCATGAGGTTAAATTATACATGTATAGTTAGTGAATTCCTCTCTCATAAGTGTTGAAAACAGGATGGCTACCATTATTTTGCAGGCATTCAAGGGTCAGATTTTTGACAGTGTACTGTAATTATTCTTTTGTCTTCATCTTATGACCAGATTTGTTTTTGTACTTATGAAAATACATGTAAAATGTAAATTTCATTTGAATAATGTCAGAACATTTCAAAGTGAAAAATGAAAAATTAATTTGGTCATTTTTTTCTTATAAAATGCCAAATTGCTCTTTTGACCTCTTTCCTTCTTTTAATTGACTATTTTGATAAATTATGTGGTTGTTTTGGCATTATGTAAATGGAGAAATAATTATTGCTTAAATAGAGTTTAAAATCCTCGAGAGGGGGCCCAGGGGCTTTTTCTAGTTTATTTTTCCTTGACCTTTCGATTTAAAGTGTTATTAGAGACTGCCCAGTCATATGTTGGCTTAGGGTGGTTGCAGGCCTTAATATATATCCAAGGTTGAAAAACTACCTTTGAGAAAAATTAAATCCAAATTCATTCAATTTTCATATAGGAAGGTATAAATTGTGGACTTTACATTATAATGTTAAGTAGTTTTCTACTGCAAAGAAATCATTAAAAATAAAAACCTCAAACTCTAAATGTGAAGCATATATTTTTTAGGACAAATGACTAACACTAACTTATAGAAACATTCAGATTTGGAGATGTTATGCAACATTTTGCTCGAGTTACTTAAGTATTCCAGAGTTAACTTAGTAAGTATACCAATGAATGCATTTTGCTATTTCCACTGATATGAACCTTTTTTAACCACTTATTTAAAATTATCATGAATTCATATAGATACCGATATATCAGTGCATTTGGGGGGAATTTTATACCTGTCTATAGCTCTTATTGTAACAAAATCATTGACTGTCATAATGCATTTTATACAAAATATTATTCTGATTATACTTTGTTTCTAGAATCTTCTGATGAATATTCCATTGCTTATATGCTAGACTTTAACATAAAAAATGTGTATGGTGCATTTGCAAAGCTGAGAAATGCAGGAATAAAATAAGTACTCAATGTAAGTGAATGTTATAGGCAGTACGAACTGCAAGGGATAACCTTCCCAAGGACTCACTTTCTTATTGATATAGTATGGGTCAAGGTCCTCCAAGGGCTCTGACACCATCCCAGGTGGAATGTCTCCATAAATAAATGGGAGAGATTTTCCTGCTTCCAAGTCACTATTTGGCTTTGGTTTGTTCTCATCATCATCCTCTTTGAGTTCTCTTTTAGCCTTCTTAGCTTTCTCTTCTGCAGAGCGTTTTTCAATAGCAGCGAGAGATTCTCTAGTAAAATAGCGGAAGCTATCAGGTCCTGGGGGTACCAGCAGTGCCTGTGCCATCTTTTCATCCTGCAAATTTAATTTCGTTTAGCCTCTCGCATGAGAATGTCCTATGGGGATAAAAAGAGGAAAATAGATACCAGTTAAGAGAAAAGTAATGAAATAGGGAGGGAAAAAAATCAACCAAGATGTTATTTCATGCTTCATCTTGTTTTGCCAGCAAATAAAAAAATAGTCACTATAAACATGAAGTACAGCATTTAGTGCTGTGCCACAATTTTAACTTGTAAACATTATTACTGTTCAATCTGATTCTCCATAAATCAACTTCATAAGACATCTGTTCTTGGCTTTTGAGCCAAGAAATACAGAAATATGGTTATTTACTTCTGGTAAAGGATATGTGCTTATAAGCCTTGTAAATAGAGCCAATTCTTGATTTTTGTCGACCCTCTATCTCTCCCTTTCTCCCTGTTCTTCACTTTATGGTCACATTAGGTCATGTGTGTAGCACAGAGTACACTAGATTGAGAATCAGAAGAACTGATTTCCAATCCCTGCTGCTTATCCCCTGTCTTTCTTTGGGCAAGCCCCTTAACCTTTTAGAGACTCAGTTTCTGCATCTGCAAAATAAGAGGGTTTGAGTCAATAAGTTGTGAAATTTATTCTAGCTCCAACTCCTGTAACCAGGTCTGCTTTGTAACTAGAAAGTACTATGTAAATATGAGCTATTATTATAACTGCTATCATTATTATTTTCCCCATTGATCAATAGTTCCCCACAAGAAAGAAAACAGGTGAAATTTAAATTAAATGGCTGACTTTACTCACTGAATTGACTGGGCTGATGCTGAGATCAATGTGATTTCTCTGAGAGGCCAAGGGTCAGCAAGCTGGTTTCTTTTAAGATTTCTATTTATATTAAGTCATTGTCTTTAGTTTCTAGCCTGAGTATATGTTTCATATATAATTTTTCCCAAAAAACAAATATCAACATGTCAAAAATAATATCATATGTTACATTAATTCCAATAAGGAATTTTTGTTCTATGATTGAAATAGAGGCTTTTGTCTTAGCAAAATGGCTGATGAAACAGAAGAGTTTGATAACTACTGGTCTAGACCATTCAAAAGCCAATCAGGAATTTAGCAAATCTTTATTGCATCTCTGATATGCCTTGGGCACAGCATTCATGAAATGAATGTTGTTGTTGTTGTTGTTTTTAGTTACTTTAGCATTCAAACCAAATTGACACACGGCAGACCCAAACTGGCAGTTGTGCTATATATACACATGGCTTTCATATTTTTAATTAGGGGTCATTTTTAGAAGCTAAAATGAAGTTTGGGTATAATCTACACATTTCAACTATCCATATATTTTAATTGGGAGATCTAATACCAGGTCATGGCTAACTAGCTATATGACCTTGGCTGAGAAGTAGAACAAATTTGAACCTTTGTTTCCTTATATTTAAAATATCTATTATGATAGCTGCCCTTTCTGGCTAACAGGCTTTTTGTAAGGATCTAATGAGAAAATGTATGTAAAAGTATTCTGACAAGAGTACTGAACCAGGATCTCCTAGAATATTCATTCACAATAATTCTTCACAATAAATATCATTCTTCACTGAACTGGGATCTCCTAGAATATTCATAAAATAAGGATCCAATTTGGAAAGCTCTCAATGATTAATAAGAGAGTAGACTCATGCTTTATGTGCCACCCAAGCAACTTGATTGGCATGGAAATGTACCTGTACCTTCCTGGTCACATCGAAGTATCTGGATTGTTTGAATTTGTTTTTATAAGCAGTCATGTGTGTCATTGCACCTAGCCAGTTTTGTGGGGTTAGAGAATTTGATATAAAAAAATGTTTCTTTTAAGGCTCTTTTAATAGAGAGATTGACACAAAGGTTTGTAATTTTCAAAGTATCATTTGCATTGCAAAACTCACATGGTAAACATAACTCCTGTTAGTAATATTAGCTAACATTTATATAATGCTCACTATGGGCCAGGCAGTGTGTTAAGCGCTTCCCAGGTATTATCTCATTTGATCCTCATAACGACCCTATGGGGTAGGTGCTGTTATTATCCTCATTTTAGAGATGAGGAAACTGAGGCAAATAAAGGTTAAGTAACTTGCCCGTGGTGTCACAGATAGTAAATGTCTGAGGCTAGATTTGAATTCAGGTCTTCCTGATTCCGGGCATAGCATTCTGTCTATTGCATCACACAGCATTAATGAAAAAGGTATTTATTCATGAACACATGTTTTTTACTTACCACATATAGTGGGTGCTTTTTTTGGCACTGGAATGACCTAAATAACAGTCTGGTTCATCCATACCTTGCACTTTTCCTTGTTGGACTAGACTTCCTTACATTAATTATTAACTCATACTGGGCACATAAGAACACTCAGCAGGTGCTCAGCCCAGTGGATTGGAACTTTGTACATTCAGGACCAAAAAAACAGTCAATCTGTAAAAGTGAATGGCTAGATACTCCAAAAGAGCACAATCTTGCCAGAACAATGAAATCATTGCTAAGATAAGGAAACTAAATGGGAGACACACACAATGTAAAAGTCTGAGGAAATTCCTCTAAAATTAGTAACCAGCTAGTGAATAGGTGTTTGTTTGGATTTTTTCATCTTCTTGATGTTCATTTTGGAGTAGCCATAAAGTATTTTTGGTTTTATTTTTAAACTTCAGTTTGTTTTTAGAGGTAGATTTCATCCCATAGCAAGTTCTTTTGACTTCTAGGATACAATGCAGTAAAATTTACCCATGTTGAGTTCATTGATGTAGCATTAAGACATTTGAGAACAGCTAGGTGGCACAGTAGGTAGAGTGCAGGGCCTGAAGTCAGGAAGATTCATCCTTCTGAGTGCAAATGTGGCCTTAGACACTTCTTAGATGAGTGACTGTGGGGAAGTCATTTAACCCTGTTTGCCTCAGTTCCTCATCTGTAAAATGAGCTGGAAAAGGAAATGGCAAACCACTCTAGTATCTTTGCCAAGAAACCACAAATTGAGGGGAAGGGTCAAGAAGAGTAGATACCACTGAAATGACTGGAAAACAAAATTTGATATCTGTGAGTAGACATTTTGTAAAATCTCTTTTCATTTACTTTTCTCTTTGGTGAAACATTAAGATTTCTAAAAATCATTTGGCTAACATATATACATACATATTATCCATATGTATAGGTATATTATCCATTTATAAATGAACAAATATACATTATAATTTATTAAATGTAACAAATTTGATATAGTTCTTTGTCTAATTTCAGTTTCAAGGTATACTGAGCACTGTGCTTGGCATTGGGTAAGATAAAAGTATGAAATCAGACATGGTGCTGCCCCAGTGGAGATCTTAATTGCATAATCTAATAATTTAGCTCTTAGTAACTTTAATTTCCCCATCAAAAGAAGATGAAAATGTACTCTTACCAGGGGAGATGAATGGGATATATAGTATGTCATTTTTAAGTGAGACCATTGTAGAATATTTTGTAAGAATCTATCATATAACATATATTTATTAGCTACAAAACAAGTTTCATGGATATAAATCAAATTTATATTTAATATTTAAAAGATATTTAAAAACACCATTATATATTCCATCTAAGGGCTCACCAGGTGTATTACTATTATTGGATAAACACTTTTGTCCTCTAGCTCACCACTGTATCTTTATGAGGTTGATTTTGCTAGCAGAAATTTGTTGTTGTTCAATCATTTCAGTCATGTCTGACTCTTCATGACCCCATTCGGGGTTTTCTTGGCAGAGATACTGGAGTGGTTTTCCATTTCCATCTCTAGCTATTTTACAGATGAGGAAACAGACATATAGGGTTAAATGACTTGCTCAGGGTCACACGTCTAGTAAGTGTCTGAGAATGAATTTAAATTCACATCTTCCTGACTCCAGGTCCAGCGCTCTATCTGGTGCACCAGCTGCCCAGTAGAAGTTTAGTTTGAGTTTAATATTCTTGTTTAACATTTTATTTCAATTAAGCACCTTATATTCATTGGATATGAAGATTTCATCTGAGTATTTCAGGGTCTTTGATGTATCACTACAGACTGAAAATGAGACAGGTTTTGATGGAAGATACTCAGTACATTCTATTTTTGCCTGCCTTTCCTGGCTATAGTTGACATTTTGTACTGTACTGAGACTCTGATTTGTCACTAAAAAAGCATCTGTGCTGTATGCTGATAACCACTGATAGATAGATTTAATGTCTCCTTTCATTTTGCCATTCTTAGATGGCACTGTGATATATTGTAAGTCAAATAGTATATTGCTTTGCATTATCTTAATGTGTATTAAATTATTATGCTAATAGAAATGAATGAATTTGGTTAGTTAATTAATGTTAAACCAGTTTTGAGTCTGACAAAATGCAGTCCTGGATATTTTGCACATTGCTGAGGTGAAGGGTAGGAGACCCCTTCCTCCCATTGACCACAGGATGTGAAACAGCTCTTCCCGACAGAGCATATAGAAATGCACAAATGTAGTGGGTTCAATCTCTCTATTATGTATTAGAGTCAATATTCCCTTCCCATGTGGGTATTTTTATTATTATTTTTACAGACAAAATTGATTAGTTCTGGTCTGTTCCCATGGAAACAAAGCTATGTCAGGCGACTGTAAATCTGCCATCTCCAAGAATGGAAGCTTGGCCAGGACTATGCATATCTAAGAGGGCAAACCGGGAGGAGGAACTCAAACTTAGTGTGTGATTAAGACACTGAATCTGGAGTCTGAGGGCCTGGGTTACAGTTCTGCCTCTGCTGCTTAACATCTCATTGACTTTAGGCAAATCAGTTAATTTCTCTAGTCTTTAGTTTCCTCACATATTAAATGAGAGTTGGACGAAATGATGTCTAAGGGGCCTCTTTCATCTCTAAATCCTATGTTCCTAAAACACGTTTTCCCACGATCATATCTATTATATCCCAAGATAAATAGTGTGCCAAGGGGTGTTTGTAAGACTGGCTAAATGTGATTTTCCATAGGACTTTATTAATATCTCTCACTTCTTTTAATATTTTACTTTTTTGTCATATTCATGAATATA